AATCAAATTAATTGAAAAAGTTACTTTACTTTACTTCAATTTAATTTAAACACTATGATATAAAAACCAAAGTTAAAAACTTATTCGATAAAGTTATTCAAAAAATTCACTGTCCAAGTATATTACAATATAAATTAACTAATACATTTTATTCGGTTAAACATTTATAAAGTGTTTAAAGTCGTCAAAAATAAACAACAACCAGCTTCCTATAAAAATAATAATAATAATAATATTTATAGCCAGCACAGTATTAAATATTTACACATATTATAATAATATGTTTATTTAGATAATAGCCAACACAGTATAATATCAATTTATAAACGACATCGGACATAGAGCTTAATAATAATAATATAATAGTTACAAACTATAGTTTATACTGATTAACAATTTAAAAAACGGGGGACGGAGTGGCCGAGCGGACTAAGGCGTCGGCTGCGACGCAGACAACGCTGGTTCGATACCTCGGTCGCGGGCGGCATTTTTCTTCGGGCAAGTCACGGTGTCCGGAGAATAAGTACCACCATCCACCACCCGGGCATGGCAGATACCTATACGGCTATACGGGTGCCCAAATCAAAAATTCTGCCAAAACAAACACACAAGTATTCCTCCCCCTACCAACTAAAACCTACAAACAAAACAAAAATAGCTAATGGCCTTAGTTTCCAGGCTCAAGATCAATAAAAAAAAAAAAAAAAAAATTAAAAAACAACACAGAATACTAATACATTTTTATATGAACATAACATATAGGTAACCATTGTTCTGTGATATAACAAAGGTGAATGTTATTTAAAAACTAACATTGTTTAGACTTAAAGTATATAAGTAGAAACCTAATCTTAATTCATTACGGGTTTCGTTTTAAATTTAGTGACACCAATATTTAATTTCCTATACACATCTCCAGGGTATTTTTTAATGATTTTTTCTGACTGCATAAACTTATTACTTATTTTGACTGAACATATACCAACAGCTGATGTTTCGCATTGGCTTTAAATAGTTGGACGTAAACGCGTAGGCCGAGCTTCGGTACGCCGCCGATCCATGAACTTGTATTTCCGTCAGTTTGGTTTTGAGCTGGGCAAATTCGCCATTGAACACCGTCATATAAAACCATTTGTACCTACATGCCCGAGAAAAGCATGGTCCAAATGTCTACATGGTCCTCGCCAACAGCGTTAGGTCGGTGGTGACGACGAACATCTGGACCATCATCAGAACTGTAACCGAGGTCATGACGATAAAAATGATCACCCGATAAAAGTCACGAAAGCTCGCTGCGTCCATTTCATTGAGTCACTCGAAGAAAACACGCCGATCGACCGGAGAGTATTATACTCACGACAGATAATCACAATTCTTATTCTGCATATTTCCCAATGAGTATTCTATAATACTAATATCCCACACGGCATAAAAAATATTTCCCAACTATGGTAAAAATATTTTCTATAGAAAATAATATAGTTGTTAAAATATTTCAAAAAGTTGAGTAAATAATTAGAAAATATTTTAATTATATTCTCTGGCCAAAAACTTCATATTTTTAAAAATATTTTATAAAAAACATTTACAAAACATTTTAATCATATATTTTCAAAAGACATTTTTACTGAAAATTTACAAAAATATTAAGCCAACATTTGTATGTTGTGAGTCGATTTTGACTCATTAATGGGGGAATGCATGACAAATGTATTAATTTAATGGACAGACCATTAGCCATTGTAAGTATGTTTTAGCTCTCTATTGATTCGTTAAATCTTAAATGGTTTATGATTGTTCAAGTTTCTGAAATAATTTTTTATTATTTTTAAATTAGAAAAACAACGTACTGTCTCATGGGTATAATAGGTAGTATGTAGTTATAAATATTGAATATTATGCAACTCTTTATAGTTTTAATTTAATAATTTTGTAAACTAGTTTTTAAACGTAATACTGATTGGGTAGGTATAACTACTAAATTATTATTTTAAATGTCGGATGTCAATTATTATTTAACTACCCACTATAATTATTTTCATGACTTATAAAATATGTTAAAATCAGTAATAACAAATTTTTTAATGCAAAGAAGTTATTGTAATTTATAAAAATATTTTTTATTGGTATTTTATTAATTTAACTAGGTAGATAAATCATTTTGAAAAATCATGAAATTTGAATTTCAAGTAAAAATAGTTTTTGAATTGTAATTTTTAATGGTTCTTATTTAACAAATTAAAAACTAGCTTACAGAATCTATAAATTATAAAATGTTTTATTATACATATACAACTTAGAACTATTTAATTACCGACATTTAATACAGTATTATGTTATTCATTAACCTTTTATATTTATTTGTTCATTCTTTTTTCATCTTTTAGATGCTCCACTTCCAAACTGTCTGCAGTAAGACATTTTTACTTTAAATGCATGGGCGTTCTCGCGAGGGGGATATGGGGGATAGATCTCCCCACAAGGTTCTTTATGTTCTTACATATTAGTAATACACGTTTTGTCTACTTTTGATATGTGTTTGTGTTTTCAATATTGACTTGGTAGTTATTATTTTTATTTTATTTTTGCTATTTTTCTTTATCGTGATTATTGATTTCACCAGCCATAAACAATATTATTATAAATATTATTTATCACTGATAAGGATAACATATAACCACATGCATATAACAGGCAATTCGTTTTACAATTGATTTGTACTGTATTTTTGTAAACGATCACTCCGTCAACTTTACCCATTCCCAGCGACAGAAAAAAATGTAAAGGTAAGATACACAATGATAACAACACAGTGATAAAATAAAATAAATAATTTAAACTAATTCATAACATTGTTTTATAGTTTAAATAAAAATTACAATAAACATTGACTTGAATTGATTATTTGATATTATCAACTATCGTTATTAAATTTTGAGGGATCTATTTGTTTTGGTTCTAGGTCGCTTTGTACGGTCAAGCATTAAAAGTGTGAAACGCGGACATTTTCTACGGTCCGGTAAAGGGTACATTGCAGAACGCGGACACTTCGTACGGTCGAGTGATAATTTTAATTTTAATTTTTAGAACTCCCACACTTTTTAATTTTTATTATTATATACATAAAGTATATGATATTATTATAAATATAAGCTATATGCCTAATATAAGCAGTATTATATATAATATTAATGAAAATGATCAAACAATCAATTATATGATTATAAATCTTAATTGTATTATATTATCAAAAGTTATGTTTAAGTAAATTCAAAAGTGTTCATTATAAATATGTCAAAATGACAAATAAAATATAATATTGAAAAAATCTTTAAAAACTACATATTGTAAAGTATAATAACTAATAAGGAAATATCTCAAAATTACAGGTTTGGCATGCAAGCACGAATAATAATAAGCAGTTGGTTTTCAATCGTCACTTCTAATGCTTCCAACCTGTTCAACATAGGTCTCCAATCTACGACCCAGAAAGCACCATACTGATGAGGAGGTCGTAATATTTGTTTATAGTATATAAACAAACGTGTGAGTTTTCTTCAAAATCTATACTGTTTTTTTGGTGTAGCTAACTCAAAATCAAATAACCGCAAATGGTAATATTATTACTTGAAATTTTTACCTACCAAATATTCACATAAGCATATTCTGTACATAACGAAAATTGTCAAAATATTTTAAAATTTTTGATCTATAAAAGACATTTTATCGAAATTTTTTCGATTTTTTTTTTCGATAAATGTCGAAAAAAACAGATCTTTACATTGGTTACAAAAAAAAACAAAAGTATACCTTCAGTACAATAATATTATAGTAACGATGATCACAAGCCACATAAATTAATTTTCCACTATTTTTTCTTATAGCGTGTTGACGCATTCTATTTATAATAACAAATAATTTATTAATACTTAATAAAAACATATTAAATAGATAACAATAAACGTTTATTTGTGTAATTCATAGTTATACAATACATTTGCAAAAGGCATAAAAATCTTATATTCTAGGTATACCTACATTTTTATATTATACAAGTTACATACTAACATACTATTTTTATTTAATTACAAGTTACATACAGTTACATTTTTTAAAATTGTATACAAATGACAAATGACAAAGAGAGGTGTTAGGTATGGCAATGTTACAATATAATGCATTATAAAACATAGATTTTAAAGCATATTATGCCTATTTTTTATATGCCAGATAAAAATCTAATTTTTATACATAAATTCATTCTATGTTATTCTGATTCAAAATAAACCACTTAATGTTTGGTTCTTTGCAATTAAATATTCCAGTTGTGGCATTTTAATATGTTTATTATGCTATAGTTATAAACAAAGTTTAATTAACCCGGATACGGACTAATATTATACTATATTGTGCGTATTATAATCAGTTAGGTATATATTATTATTATTATTATTTATTGATTATGAGCCTTATCAAAAATGAATACTGAATACTTTATTTTACATGTATAAAAATTAATTGTATAAAAAACTACAAAATTATGATGATATAAGCATTTAATACATAGAAATAAAATTAAATATGTACAATTATTATTTATAACACAAAACCAAGTGTCTTTAGAGATTTACGATACAGACATAAAGTCAATAAAGACATATTAATTATTTTAAAAGACATTTGCAATAATTATTATTTTTTAAATAGTAACTTTTTCCTTTTTAATATCCTAGATATAATAATTATATCTAATACAAATACTATTTGTATGATAAATTGATAAATATTATTTAGATTCAAATGGTAAAATAATAATATTCCTAAGATATTAATAGATACCAAACTGACAGTTTATATGATATGTAAATAGATATGTGAACCAATATAAAAGTTAAGATATCCAGGGATATTGCAGTTTACTTATTAAATGAATATTTGATTTATGATATCTACATAATACAACAGTAAAAAATATTTTAAATATACAATATAAGACAATTTTAGTTCAATAAGTACATACAATTTTCGCCTGACTTCCTAACGGCCGCAACACAGTAACCTTTGGAAAAATCTTTTGGTCCTTTTCTACTGCGACCGCCTGCGTTTGCAGGGTTCGGCCGGTTCGCGTTCCTTCGGTTCGAGCCGGTGAACTTGTTCCGTCTCATCGACAGGAACCAACACGCGGCCCCGAACGACACGGTAGTCTGTTCTTCTGTCTCTTCTACGTCCGCCGAAGAAAATTCTACGGCAATGTTCGGCAATTGACTTTCGGCAGTCGGCCGACCTGCCATTGTAGCCAGCGAGACGTAGCATATTAACGTTTTCAAGCTGACGCAGCGGCTTGACGGATCCGTTGGTTCAAAGCAGTCGCCGGCTGAGCCAAACGACTGACGTCACCAGCTCGCATCTGCCGTCCGATGTCCGGCTTTTCCGCAGGGCCGCTGACGTTATTATCGACATTAGCTGACAGAGTTATTGTCACCACCATCGAGCAGTTCCTCAGCTCGGTGTACACGTTTATCAAAAGTTGTTCTGCCGCAGGCTGTAATAAAATATAATAACAATATAAAATATCCAGACTGACAAACCGTCTCCGATAAGAATCTTTTTTCGTATACAATGATATGATATCATTGAATTCAAATGTAATACAACCCATTAAACAGTTACCAAATTGTAATCTACTCACTACTGTACAGCAGAGCGACATCCACTTACCCGCTTTTTTAATATTCATTATTAAAATATGGGAATTGTAAGGCAAAACCCTTATCTACCGGTTATTTTGTAACCATTTTTTTCATCCCCCTACATTGAAATATCCTGAGAACCCCTCTGTTTAAGTGTCAATAATAGACGAATGTACATAGTAGGTAAATCATGTTTTTAACAAGAAAATTAAAAACAAATATAATAGGTATAACCTTGTAGTAAAAAAAGCCTTCAACAGGTATGTCGCCAACACCTATGTAAGTAAAAAGTAACATTTTCCGAATTTTTTTTTGTATCAACGTTAAGACCGCTATTTAAATAAATAGTTGAACTTATTTGCAAAATAAAAAACAAGCTCCTTCTAACTAATAATGTAAGTAACAGAATCGTCGTTTTAAAACAGTTTTCAGCCCGTTTCCTCACTATAATTAAAATATTTGCAATTTTTTTTTGCCAAAAGTATTACTCAATGACGGCGTAAACTATCTGTATTAGATTTGAAGTTCGATCTTAAATACTTCGATCAAAAAATATAATAAGTTGAATTTGTAGTAAAAAAGCCTTCAACAGGTATGTCACCCACACCTATGTAAGTAAAAAGTAACATTTTCCGATTTTTTTTTGTATCAACGTTAAGACGGCTATTTAAATATATAGTTGCACTCATTTGCAAAAGAAAAAACAAGATCCTCCTACCTAATAAACTAAGTAACAGAAACGACGTTTTAAAACAGTTTTCAACCCGTTTCCTCACTATAATTAAAATATTTGCAATTTTTTTTTGCCAAAAGTATTACTCAATGACGGCGTAAACTATCTGTATTAGATTTGAAGTTCGATCTTAAATACTTCGATCAAAAAAAATAATAAGTTGAATTTGTAGTAAAAAAGCCTTCAACAGGTATGTCACCCACACCTATGTAAGTAAAAAGTAACATTTTCCGATTTTTTTTTTGTATCAACGTTAAGACCACTATTTAAATATATAGTTGTGCCCATTTGCAAAAGAAAAAACAAGCTCCTTCTAACTAATAATGTAAGTAACAGAATCGTTGTTTTAAAACAGTTTTCAGCCCGTTTCCTCACTATAATTAAAATATTTGCAATTTTTTTTTTGCCAAAAGTATTACTCAATGATGGCGTAAACTATCTGTATTAGATTTGAACTTCGATCTTAAATACTTCGATCAAAAAATATAATAAGTTGAATTTGTAGTAAAAAAGCCTTCAACAGGTATGTCACCCACATCTATGTAAGTAAAAAGTAACATTTTCCGATTTTTTTTTTGTATCAACGTTAAGACGGCTTTTTAAATATATAGTTGCACTCATTTGCAAAAGAAAAAACAAGATCCTTCTACCTAATAATGTAAGTAACAGAATCGTCGTTTTAAAACAGTTTTCAGCCCGTTTCCTCACTATAATTAAAATATTTGCAATTTTTTTTTGCCAAAAGTATTACTCAATGACGGCGTAAACTATCTGTATTAGATTTGAAGTTCGATCTTAAATACTTCGATCAAAAAATATAATAAGTTGAATTTGTAGTAAAAAAGCCTTCAACAGGTATGTCACCCACATCTATGTAAGTAAAAAGTAACATTTTCCGATTTTTTTTTTGTATCAACGTTAAGACGGCTATTTAAATATATAGTTGCACTCATTTGCAAAAGAAAAAAGGTGGGCAAGTGGATGTCGGTCTGCTGTACTGTAGGTTACAAGTGGGTCACTGTATAATGGATGGTATTAAATTTGAATTCAATGATACAATATATCATTGTATAAGAAAAACGATTCTGAGCGAAGACGGTATGTCAGTCTAGGTTTAAGACAAATTATATACATATCTATGGTATTAAAAAAAAAAATTGACTTATAATAAATTCCAAATTAATCATATCACATTATCACAATATCCATTAGGTACTTATAACACGTTATACATCAACATTAATGACAAATCCTGATACTATCATTGATATATAATAGTAAACTTTAGAAGTTTCAAGTATTTACCCACGAATAATATTATATAATCACAACAAAATAACTAGGTTTTTTAATATGTAATTTCGTCCAAATTTGAACATAAAATGACTATAAAAATAAACTGTGATTGTATATTTTTTAGATTTTTTGGTAAGAGAATTAACGACTTACGTGGAATCTTGTTTTAAATTTTCAATCCTTAGCTATAAAAACTGAACATTTTATAATTTATTAATTACGATGATTAATAATTTTCGAGATTTTGAAAAATTCTGTCAAAATTCGATGTTTAAATGCTTATAAAAAAAAACTGTGCCTATGTATTTTTAATATTTTTCAACTGATATTGTAACAATATATCAGGAGCCTTGTATTACATTTTTACACTTTTTGGCCCAACAGATAAAACTTTATTGATATTCATAGAAAAAAAAAACTAAAAAAATTGAAAAATGAAAATATCCGTAAACAGCTCAAAAAGAGTCAAAATATTTTCAAAATTTGTATGGTGTTTATAGGAAATGCTAATATAAACATTCAGTGAAATTTTCATGTATCTATAGTTATTCGTTTATGAATAACAACAAAATAAGGAAATCGCTACATGAGAAATCGAGTGAATATCCAATGTTGTAAAAATTTGAATTTCAAACGCTCATAAAAATTTAATTTGACTGTCCGGAAGAGATTTTTTTATTGATAAAGGTAGACAAACTTATGAATAATCTTGTATTACATTTTCAAATCTTAGATTTAAAAAGAAAAATTTTTGCGAATTCTTAACTCAAAATAATTTGCTAATTTCCTTGATTTTTCCATATTTTGTCAATTTTTGAACTTTAAATGCTTATAAAAAAAAACTGTGACTAACGATTTTTAATGTTTTTCATCTGCCTTTGAAACAATTTATTAGGAGCCTTCTATAAAATTTTCAAGTTTTTTTAACCAACAAATAAAATTTTATTGATATTTCTAGAAAAAAAACTAAAAAAAAATGAAAAATGAAAATGTCCCTAAACAGTTCAAAATAAATCAAAATATTTTGAAAATGTTATCGTGTATAGAAAATGCAAATATAAACAACCACTGAAAATTTCATGTATCTACGGTTATTTGTTTTAAAGTTACACCAAAAACCAAATTCGATTTTCTCGAAAACAGATTTTGCATAAAAATTCCCGTTTTTCCTCAATTTTTCTTTTGTTTTTCCCGGCGCTTTTGAAAACTACTGGGAAATTTAAATTTTGACCTCCCAATGCACCAACGATATTCACTTTCCAATCGAACAAGATACTGAAGTTGAAAATCGAAGCATTATTTCGACTACTTATCGTGTCGTACACAGACATAAAAAAAATAAAAAAATACATTCATCGGTCCACTCAGAATCTAAAAAATAAATAAACACACATCATTGTAAAATCAATACATTCATCGTTTCACTCAGAATCTAAAACAAGATCCTTCTACCTAATAAACTAAGTAACAGAAACGACGTTTTAATAAAGTTTTCAACCCGTTCAATCACTATAATTAAAATATTTGAAATTTTTTTTGCCAAAGGTGTTAATCAATGACGTCGTAAACTATCTGTATTAGATTTGGAGTTCGATCTCAAATACTTCGATCAAAAATTATAATAGGTTGAATTTGTACCGTATATAATGTCAAAATCAGATATAAAATATAAACATAATCAATGTGCACTAAGAGACCGTGGCCCAATATAATAAAAATAATATAATCACGGTTATCTAAGCTGTAGTTTATCCACGGAAAGACCGTATTGTAGCCTCAAAACAACCTAAATAAAGCATTTTAAACAAATATTTGGGTGCAGCGAATTGGTTGCACCTGTGTGCAGTGGCGCAACTAAAGTTCAAATCTTTGGAGTGCTACAATATTAGGAATTGCTCACATAGTCGTGGCCTTGTGGGGGGCCTAAAAAATAAATAATAATAGTTAAACTTAAATAAAACAAGTATAAAGTAAAAGTTTATTTTTATTCTTAAAAACATTTTTAAATTTCAGTTATTAGCTGTATATAAACTGTGAACATCATAATGATGAATCTTAAATTAATAATTTAACAATATTATACGTCTTAATATAAACTATAACAAAGTATATGTGTTGGAAATATTTTTTGCAATTACCACAGTTATAAAGTATTAAGCAAAATAAATCATTATTATTTGTTAAAAGTGAGTACCTAGGTACTTATAATAACTAATACCAATATATAAAATAAATATTGTTTCAATTTTCAAAGAAAATAACATTAAATAAATGTAGGTACAACATTGTATAAAATATATAATACGAACTATGATTATTAATTATTGTTTTATAGGTAGTTTTTATAATTTTAGATATTAATGGGTACATAATTGAATTTAGAAAAAAACCTCTCATAAACCAAAGTATTTTTAATTTGTACTACAATATGTCAAAATGTATTTTTTATTTATTATTCTGTAAAAAATATTATACATAAGTTACAACAATAAAATTAAGTCCTTAAAATGTATGCTAATATTACTATTATTAGTACAAATCAAAAATCTTTTTTTTTTTTTGTAATGGACCAGGCAGCTGCAACATGATAATCATTATTTTAATTTAGGTTTTCATTTTAATTATTTAATAATTCTAACAAAATTAATTTCAATAGATACATTGAATGAATTCAAATCTAAATAATATCATTATTTAACATAAACTATCATAACTAAACAAACTTACTAACAGGCAACAGCACTGGTTGGTCTAAAAACTAAAAACTGTATAGGCATGTACTTGTACTTGTGTGAATATTTAAGTAGAGTTATGGCTTCATAAAAAGTACTCAAGCCCCCAAATAATTATATATTTTTCTTCACAATTAATCATAATATGAAAAATACAACAAATCGCAATTAAGTTTCCTATGACATGGCACTATTACAAAATGAAATGTTTGAAAAATAAATTAAACCCAGATCTTAAGGCCTGCACCATTGCCCATTGGTTACATAAAAGGAACTACTAAAGAAGTGAATATTAATAAGTAATAACCAAATCAAAATGATATTACGTAGAATAGTTGTTTTAGGTAAATATAATTTAAATTATTAATTAATCAATTTCAATTTAAAAAACTCTATCTCAATTGTAAATTAGTAGTCAAATTTTAACATTACATAGAATTAACGACCAAACAAAATCAAAAATCTCTATTCCAACATTAAGTAGCAATTAGTGTCCACACATTATTATCTTAATTAGCATAAAACATAATACTTAGTTAATATTATTATAGTATAAATAACACCATTACTAATATTTAGTATTTACCTAAAATTAATAAAGTATTAAGAAGTACTAAATAGATATGAATCCATTGTGAAGAATCATTTCTCTTAACTAGAGTGTATATTGTCTTTCTCAATCTCTTACTTATCTCTAATAAAGATTAAATGTTATGATTATTATAAATTTGTACTTAAATTAATTGAATATAAATGTGTAACAAACAATTAGTATCAGCAATACATGTATATGATTCATTTGTAAATTTTGTAAATAAGTATTCGATAATAAAATATTAAAATAAATATAACAGAATTAGTTGTAGTTATCGTTAAAAAATAAATTATTTATAACATTAGTAAAATTAAACAAAATAGAATTATAAAAATCTAAATAGTAAATACATAGTTTAGTCTGAGTATTTAAAAAAAATGTTAACAAGTATAATATGTCCAAGTTAAATGTATATATTCGTCTGTTAAATTATATAGTGAAAATAAGCTTTATAATTTTCTGAGTAACAAATATTAATTTTTGTAAAATTAAGTTTATACGTTGTCAGTAAAAATAAATATATATATGTATTTTTATGTGGTTGAGTTTAAAATACCACTGATATATACTTAAAGACAAGAGGAATTTTAGTTGGTCCCATGAAATTCAAAATTTGTTACACAAACAAGTAATTAGCTATTACAGCAGGAAAAAAACACATTTTCAATAAAATAGTTATTACTTAATACATTTTTGAACAATCAGATTAAAAATCACAACTATTAATAAACTGTAATAATTGTTTTATTTATTTCCCTATTTAACAGAACTTCTGCAAAATAGTTTTTATAAAAATATTAAATTAACATTTTTTTTTTAACTGGCCTCAGTCAATATCTGCAATACTCTAATCTTTTTTTTAAACTATTATTTATGAGATTCTGACAAAAATTATAACATCTTCACCAGTCTGAAAATTGTTCACTATTTCTAAATGTGTTTAAATAAACTAAAATGTAAACTCATAGTAATTATTAATAAATAATATTGTTATTATATTTTGTTACACCTTCAATTTTCATAATTAATTCTTAAAATCTTTATTATAAGAACTTATTTTAAAATATTAAAATAAGCAAAAAAAAGCAAACTAAAAAATTATTACCCTGCTCCCAGCGAAACAAATAATAAATAAATAGGGTCACCCCTCAAAATTAAGTATTTCAAAATATAGAACTACCCCATCCATGGAAAAAACGTCAGACCCGAAATTAAGTGTGTTTAAAATTGCACTCTTTCTCCATTTTTATATTTGTGAATTAATACAAAAATAATATGACGAACAATACTACCGAGAATCAACTAATCTTATATTATCGTATTGATATATTTTTATTGGCCAGCCATGACAGACACACCATATAGCAAAAATAAACAAAGACGAGCTGAGTATTACTACTAAAAATAGGTTATTACTAATTGAGTTCAAAGGCAAAATTCTATCAAAAATACATTGAAGAAAAAATTATTAGGTTTTTGTCAGTGTTTAGCTGTCAGTCTAAGTAATCTCAAAATAGAAAATATATAGAAAAAAAACATAAAAATAACTATACTATATTATAAATTACATATTATTTGAAATCAAATTAACATGGCATACAATTCTATAATAGTGCTCTGCTCTTTTGCTAGAGTCAAGCCAAAATAAAAAAACAAAGTAAGTCCTGCTGTAAGTCCTGAACCATGTTTATGGGTTATAAAAAATTTAAATTTTTGAATTTTAATAATATTAACTGAATATATTTTTAGAATTGCTTTGTGTTTACATTCTTGTATATTTAAACGTTAATCTACCACTCTTCTTCTTCTTCAGCAGCAACCAAGTTGGATGTGACATCAACATTCTAAAAAAATTTAATAAAATTTAGAATTCCAACATTTTGATATATATACCTTAAAACTAATAGTGTATAATAAAACAAATAAATAATGTAGTATTTAGGCTTCTTCAACGATATATTTTTGAATCTCGATATCGTTTTGATTTGTGATATTGAAAAAAAAAATTGGGAATCAATATATTGATATTCCGATATCTCTATGACTATCATAATTGTCAATACTCAATTGACTAGGTACTAGGTAGTAACTAATGGTATTAGTTAACAATTAATTGTTTTAAAATATATTATTCAAGAGCTTTGGCATTAAAATCAGTTCAGCTTGCTGATACATTGATTATTGATATAATGATTATTAGGATTATTGATACCTAAATTTCTGAAAAAAAGATTGCGATATCGTTGAAGAACCCTAGTAGTATTTATTGTTTCTGAAAATAATAAAACAACTGGATAGTTAGGGTCGGTTGCATAAAGACCAGTCTGTAAATGTTATAACGTATCTGGTATCTGTAACTTAATCACTCGTTAACGGCTTGTAAAAAAAAAAATGAGTTGCATAAGAGATTATTATTATTTTGTATTTTATTGATGGTATAACTACCAAATAAATTATACCAAATTTAATTTGATTACAATATGAATAATATTTCTTATCACCATATTTAACAGATCATTAAAAGTTAACGAACCAAAATCGGACCTGTAGTTTACAGGTCCAATAGCTGATAATTTACAGACCTGTTAACGTTAACAGTCGTTCAAGCAACACAAAATTTTTTTTAACGGATCGTTAGTGCGTTAACAGCTCTGTAAATTGCTAATGAACGTTTTTGCAACCAGCCCTCAATATTAAATATTTATCTTCATGTTACCGTTCTTATATCGTTGAAATTGTCAATAGCCGGGGAAGCTAGAATACGTTCAGCAGCATCATTTAGAAATGATGGTACTTCTTGATCCGCCTAAAATATATCATTTTCAACATATTATTATAAAATATTTTATGTATTTAATGCTAATAATTTAACACAATTTAATTGCAAATTTATGCTTTTTCCAGCAAAAGAACATTCCAATTCTGCGCATACCCACTTGACACCTGGCTATTTAAACCAATTCCGCTATGGCAGGGTTTCGCATGGGGATGCGCAGAAAAACCTATTTTCATTATCACACTGCTTAGAGTATAGTAATTTGGGTGTTAGAAATAAATTAAGTTCAATAAAATTGTTAATATTATACAATTTAACTTATTTTTTAAGAATTAGTATAAATGGAAACTTACTTGTTTGAGAATTCTAATTAACTCAGGAGCTAGTGGACCATCAGATTCTGGGTCAAAAAATGAAATAGCTTTACCAGCATTTCCTAATCTACCCGTACGCCCAATCCGATGGACATACTCATCAACTGTTTTTGGTAGATCAAAGTTCACTACATAATTCACACCTTTTATGTCTAGTAATACAAATAAAAAAAAATATAACTAATAATATTCTAAAACAATAAAATAATCATTTAAAGTAAATACCTAATCCACGAGCTGCAACAGCAGTAGCTACTAAGATTTTCATTTTATTTGTTTTGAAATCTCTTAATGCCTGCTCTCGTTCAGGTTGCTCACGTGCACCATGAATACTTGTAGTAGGGAAATCCACTTCACTTAAATATGCAGCTGTATAATCCGCAACTTTTTTTCTTTCAACAAATACTATTGTACCTTGACAATTTTCTAAAATAATAAAAATACAATTGGTTACAAATTATATTATTTATACAAAAGTTAGACACAAATAATTGCATCAATATTTTGAAAATTAATTTATAATAAACTATTTAACATTAATAAGCTTACCCATTGTTTTAATTACATCAAGCAATGCATTTTTTTTTTTAAACTTAGTGACTTCCATTACTGTTTGCACAACATCTTTACATGCTCCTCCTACTTCCCCAACAGCTACAAATATATAATCTGATTTCAAGTAAGAAGTAGCCATATGTTGTATTTCACTTGGGAATGTAGCAGAAAACATAACTGTCTGTCTTGATTCCTAGAAAATGTATACTCATTATAACTTCTGTCATAGTCGCATCACCACATTGTATATGATACATCTCATTTACTATTAATAAGTATATAATAAACTAGCCAATCCTGCACGGTGTTCCCCGTGACAAGTTAAATGCCTGTGGATTTACCACTTCTTAAACACTGTTAATGTAAACTGCACAGAATTTGAAGACAGATATTTTGGTTGTTTTGATTAAATACAATATACAGGTGTAAAAATTATATCTAATCATAATAACTGTTATTTACTAGATATACTCTAGTCAAAATTAGTTCATCCGGTTTGAACCTTTTTTCCAGACATACAGCCAAATGTACCTGTGCGAGTTTCATGCAATATTACATTTAATCGTATAGGTTAGGTTAGGTATATTACAGTGTTGGGTAAGTTACTTTACTCGTTAGTTAGAGATAAATATAATTAAGTTACTTTACTCGTTACTCAAATAAAACTGTAATGAAATTACTTAACATCTGAAAAATGAACATATAAATGTTGGTTAAAATTGTTTTTCTAGGACAAAAAACTTGAAACGCAATAAAAAGGATCTCCTATGTTTAAATCGTTTTTTCTTTAACTTTAAATGTTTTATTAATAACTATTTAGATACAAGTTGATATCATATAATCAAATATATAATATACCTTAGGCCTAAATAATATATAATGGTACTCTGTTTATTCGTGTATACAACTTGTCGACACTAGTCGGCTGTTGTATATCTTACCGACCATGGTCGGGCATCTAGACGTAGTATAAATAAGTTATCATTTATATTTTTGAACAATGAAAACTTACTATGGAAGGCATAGTCGAATTTGTTAATACTTGTTCTATATCAGGTTTGAATCCCATATCTAACATTCTGTCTGCTTCATCCAAAACGAAAAATTTAACTGATGAGAAAGTCACAATACCTTTTTCAACAAAATCAATCAGACGTCCTGGTGTAGCAGTTAATATGTGAACTCCTCTCTGTGTGAAGAAATTTGTCATAATTAAAATATAAGTTCAAAGGAGTGGATTTATTTTTTAATAATTAAAATATAAAATTTACATTACCTGAAGGATTTTAGATTTTTGGTGGTAAACAGATGTACCTCCATACAGTAGTCCATTTCTAATATCAGTTCCTTTACTAAATTTCCATACACATTCACTAATTTGTGAAACTAACTCTCTTGTAGGTGCAATAATAACTACATGCGGTTCACAATGATGTTCATCATAAATTAATTGTGTTGGTTGCTTAAGTAAATTATGCAAAATAGGTAAGACATACGCTGCCTAAAAAAAAGTTGTACTTTATACATTTGTTGAGTATTTAAAATTAAAATAACTTACAGTTTTTCCAGAACCAGTCTGAGCACTAGCCATCAAATCTCTGCCATCAATGATAATAGGTATTGCATAATTTTGTACTGGAGTTGTTGTAGCGAAATTACAGTTAGATAAGTTGTCTAGCAAAATAGTGCGCAAACCAGAACTATGAAAAGATGTTATACTTTTTGGAGGGTTAATTCCACTCACTTTTACTTCAATAGTATTATACTTGTCAAAATTAAGCCCTGCCTCAATTCCAGCAATAGACTCTTCACTTTCAATATCGGGAGGAATGTACGGTGCTTTTGGAATAGTTGGTTTATCATTTTCATTTTTTTTATGACCATCTTCACTATTCCCATACCAACCACCTGATCCTGATTGATCTCGCCTTCCACCTCTACCACGGTTAAGCCCTCGTCCTCGGCCTCGATGACCTGGAGCAGTGTTACCGCCATGATTATTAATACCAGAGTCATATTCATCCCTAAATGATTCATTTTCTTCGTCATATCTCTTTATGATACCTCGACCGCGACCGCGACCACGGCCACGGCCACGTACATGTCCACTATTTGAAGTGGAATCATTACCATATGATTTTTCATGAGAATTATTACCATTGTTTGATTTATTATATCCTCCTGTTCCTTTCCGATATCCTGAGTTATTTTTATTATCATAATGATTTTTAAGGTCAGTTTCAGAGACCCACATATCCTGTGTGTTTTCACTAGAGCAACCGTTATCCTGACGATATCTTAGTTCAGCTGTAGAAAGATAATGGTCTTGTCTTTCTACAATGAGACTTTCACGCTCCAAATGATAATTTAATGTAGCATCATTTAATGTTTCTACTATATTCTGCTCATAGTTATCATTAGAAGAAATATTTTCATTGTTTTTCCATTCGCCAACAGCAGGCTGATTGATTTTATTAGGGTCTGATGAATTAACAACAGTTTCTTCCATAGTGAGATATCTGTAGGTAAAGATTTTTAAATGTTTAGATCAACTTATTTAAGTCTTAAACTATTATTTAAATAATATAATATTATAATATATTTTAATTAGAACGTCAAAAACATTATTGAACTTTTGCACATTAGTGCATGGATATGTCAGAAAATATTAATCACATTTGGTTTTATTTTTATATAGATGACAAGAAACTTTTGAAATAACTAAACTAAATTTTTTTTTTTTTTACACAAATAATTTATTTTTAAAATTAATTTTTAAATAGTTAAACATATAACAGTATATTCAATTAAAATACATATTTACAATAAATTAAAAAACAATTCTTAATAGAAATTATTAATTCAATAATTGTAAGCTAAAAGTTAATGTAAAACAAATTATGTGCCTAATTAAAAGTACCAAATACATTTTTGCATAGTGCTAGTGCAATAAAAATTACTAAGAAAATAGTTATGTTTTTAATGCTGGTCCACATTAGTCACCAGAGTAATTTGAATAAAAACTCAAATTTCCCCACATTGTCAAGTAGTTGGGTACCACCTACATTTTTTTAAAACAAAAATACCCTTTAACTTTGTTGTTTCTGTATGGACATAGCATAAAACAACTAACAATATAATATAACCTACCACCTACGTCAAATCACTAACTATTAAATGTAGTTAATGTAACATTGATAGGTAACTAATTTTAATATTTACTCAGACAATTACCTATTGTGTTCGAATGGTCGGATACGGTGCTAGTTACAGATTACAGTGCTCTTGCTGCGCCGACGTTAATAACAATATAGTTCTCTTCTAAATTAAGATACAAATTAATAAAAGCACCAAACTATAAGAAGGCCAATGCCCAATATTATTTTAATAGCGTAAGTAAAATCTGTCAAACGACAGACACCACACACTCAGTACTCACAAAAGTATTGCGCGGACTTGGACCAAATCTGAACTTATGCGATCATACCAAGTTGTTTATATTGTTGTGTATAAACAATGATTTACGAAATAATGAATCGAAATTACGCTATCCTGAATCTGTTAAAAAAGGCCCATCGTCGACAATCCAATGCCCCTTAACCGCATTCCACATCCACAATAAATTCCGATATAGTTGCAGTTCACCAGTGGTCACTACGCCTGCACGATAAGCACGCCACAAGTCATAACTCACAACCTAAAAAACAAAATAATAACAACAACAAGCTAGTCCAATCACAGAATGATGACCGTCGATTGTGCGCATGCGTCGTAATTCCCGAATTACCATGGTTGAATTAATATACAATATATTTCAACCATGCGTATCACCAAGTATCACTATCGTTTTGGATCCGGATTCCGAATTTTAAATTAAATTTTACTACAGAATAGAATATATTATTATAATAATTTTACCACGGAACTCCAACAACTAATTATTTAAACGTTGTATAAATACAACGTTAATAGATAACTGGTAAGTATAAATGTATAATAAATTAAGTCTTATTCCATGCCCCGCCACCCCGGGGTTTTTTGAATCACGGAAGTTTTGCCCCCGCCGTTTCGTCCCCGTCAAAAAATCCAGTCCACGGACGTTTCGTCCCCGGCAATAATGTCCTATACATTTAGTCCCGGAAAGTTATTATAGCTATAGGAAGTTATTGGTCCCCGGCATATTTTCATTATAGGTATAGGACTTCGGTTCTCAGGTTATTAATTACTTCAAAGTTCATTATTTTACTAACATTTACTACATTTATTTTTAATGAACAATTCTATAATGTCTAATATACAGTGTTGTAAAATATTTGAGTAAAAGTATTCATTTACTTTTTTCCGTATTAAATACTATTTCATTGAATACTTTTTTTTTATTCTTTTAATTCTTAATTTGTTTCTTCTTATAATTATTCTTGTTAGATAAAAATACCATGCCGTCGTGGTTTTACTTTAACATTATAACAATGTAATAATATATATTTATTTAACTACTATATTTTAAGAGTATTTGATGCAGAGAGTATTCAATCAATACAGATGTGCAATGCGTCTGCAACGACTGCATTGGTACAAAAAAAAAATTAAATAATAAATCTACCTAAAATAGTTAGTTTTAAGGAAAAGAAATTGCAATCATAATATAATGACAATATAATGACGATAATTACCTACATTTTGTACTATTTAAATAACATAAGTCAGTTGACCTAAAAATAAATATATAATTTATCTTAATATTATAGTATTTAATTTTAATTTATTAAATTTTACTACAATTTTTGTTGACTTAATACAATTGTGATATATTTAAATCTTGACTATTTGTATTGTATGAATATTGATTATGTATTTGTATATTTTGTAGTATTAAAGATAAAATTGTTCATTAAAAATTAATGTATTTAGATTATCAAAGTATACCGGGGAACAAACGTCCTATATGGCTAATAACTCTCAGGGATGAAACGTCCTACCTCAATAATTGCCGGGGACGAAACGTCCGTGTACTGGTTTTTTTGACGGGGACGAAACGGTGAGGGCAAAACGTCCGTTTACCGAGTTTTTTCTACATAACCACGGACCCATGGATCCATGATATTTCATTCCATTCTTCGAGACCTAAGTTTCCTAAAAATGTATTTGGAGAAGTTGACGGTGACCGGAGATTTGATATTTCTCAAGATACATTTAGGATTATAAATATTTTTACCAATTGTGGATTGTATAGGTATAATATTTAAACTCAAAGAACGGTTTAATGGAATGAAATGTGTTTCTGATCGTTTCTCATTTATAAGCCCGAAATCAATTTTGAGCTATGAACAGTCTTCCGTAATTAAATCTAGGTGCTTATGATTTCATTCAATTTTATAAAGATGATGTAACTTCAGATTTCACGCTGCAAATTATATGCCTAAAAATAAGCATTTCGTCTCAAAATCTAAAATCTATTAAAGATTTATGTGTATTTGTAATTGAAATGGATTTGTCTATAAATTATCCAGATGTATTATCGGCATGTATTTTATTTTTAACTTAACCGATAACAGTCGTATCTGCAGAACGTAGCTTTTCAAAGCTTAAATTAATATAAAATTATCTTCGGAATTCTTCTGGTGAAGATCGATTACAAAATATAAGTATTTTGAATATTGAAAGTAAACGGACCGCCGAACTTTATATTGATAAGATAACAGACTTTGCCAAAGCAAAAGCCAGAAAAAAAAACTTTTTGATTTAATGTATTAATTTATTGATTATAATGTTTTAACTTATATTTTAAGAAACAACTTATGATTCATTAATTATTATATTTTACTAAAATGGCTAAATGAAAATTAATAGAACTATTTTTTTTTATATTATTATATATTTTCTTCTGTTTAGTTATAAATACTATACCTACATTAAATCTACAAAAATATCATGCGTTGTATTTAATTTTGTTATATGTAAGCATAGTATGTAGATATAGTTATATTAGAGTATAATATTTGTATTATGATATGTATACTGGCGTACGTGACTACGGAGCCGGACGCTCGACCAGGAATCTGCTGATCCAGCAATTCCCACCCTGGCCGTTGTACAGAAGGGCCCCTTGGTCACGGCCGCCTCGGCAGTCTCGTAGACACTGCAGGCATCCAGTCAGAACCTCTTTTCATTTTTATACAGAAAATCATTTTAATAAGTCAATAAACACATTTTTTTATCTTTTAAACAGCATCTTTGCATTATTTCTTTAAAACACGTACCTAATCTCTAAACTAGGAATAACAGCGTGCCGGTACACATAAATTTAGAGATAACATTGTTAAAATTGGTTTTGGTATAAAGTTTCATATTAATAATATAATAACCACCTATATTATTTATTTAATAATAAGGTTATAATTTCTTGTCTAATTAGTATAATGCATATTATATAAGATCATAAATAATTTCATAAAAGTTAAAACACGAAAAAAGTAAGTACTGATTAATATTGCTGTAGTAATACAAAAATCAAGTAAAAAATTATAATATTAATTTTGGGCCTCCAAACAAATTTTGCACACGGCCACACGGGCCTCAGAGTTAATAGTTGCGGCACTGCCTATATTGTTTCGCATTCTACACATTTTATTACATTTTATATCTTATCAGTTAGGTATCTATAAAATATATAATTTTTAACATATAATTTTATAGTTGGAATTTTAAGAGTAATTGATATGTAGGCATAAAAATCATAAAATACATAGGTACCTACTGCTTATGTGATCCACGTAGGTCGTAGGTACCTACTAATTAAAAAAGTAGACTAAGAGTTAACTTTTTTAAACTGAGTTAAGTCAATATTTTTTTCTATAATAACATTACATTTACAGAGTTACATTTATTATTTGTTAACAATTAACTTCTAACTTATAGTAACTTATCGATATTGCATGTTCACTTAAGTATTCAACTTAACTTAACTTGAGTTAATTATCTTCATTAACTTGACTAACTTTGTGTGCATACAACGTACTTACATACCTATACTCGACTAATCAAAGTAGGTAAATCAATACAATGTCATCATCAATACATAATTTATAACTATGAATATAGTGAATGTAATAATATTATTTAATAATTATTATCAAATAGTACAACATCGGTGACCACATTGGAGGTATGTCGTATGTATAAAGTATAAAGTCGATGTTATATAATGCTGGTATATAAATTGCAAGTAGTCTCAATATTTCTGATTTCATCAAATGGAGAATAATATTTGGATAAAATAGTGAAAGAAAGCCTTGTGTACTTTCGAATATATTTTATGGCGCCTTCTACAATATGGTGTAAAATCGTGCGCCCGATACTTCTTCAATGCAACTATGCATACCATAGATAATAAAGATATGGATAAGACATAATGGTCTTATCAGCGGTCTTCCAGGGGAATAATTGAGGCCACTAATTAGACTAATTAGAAGATATCTTCTAAGACCGTGATTGAGGCCAAATAAAGTATATCTATATCGAGTATCGACTGTCAATCACGGCTATAGATAAAGGAGCCTCGATTGCCTCCCCTCCGGGAACTCGGCCTCAAATATATTTAACATAATATGCGTGGCCTATCCATATCTTTATTATCTATGTGGATACCCAACCCAACCTGTACTATCATATTATTGTATCCTAACCTATATTATGGTTGTATATGGTTGTATGGTTAATAATACTACAATAAATTACATCAATATATATCGCAGTATCACTATCACAATCACTCCAGTATTGTTCTTAAACAAATTATTTACTTTTATTAGAGAACTACATTAGAGATACTTACATTGTACAAAAAACAAAATAGAATATTTAAGGTATATTGTAATAGTCTTTCGTGGGCCGTGTGGTGTCTCCTTTGAATCGTCGAGACACCGAAAAAAAGATGGCTGTAGCTGGAGATCCTTTGAACTTAGCATCAGGTGAGTTTTAATTAACAAACAGTTTTAATTTTCTAAAGTGTGGAGGTATATAATTTGATGTATGTAATTTTCACAGATGTCAAACGTGCCATTGAACTGTTGGAAAAGCTCCAAAAAAGTAATAAATCCACAATTGAATCTTTTATATTAAATCAAAGTTAAACTACTTGTTTACTTTTGTCTAGCTGGAGAAGTGCCGGTAACCAAATTAGCTGCGTTGCAAAAAGTATTGCAGAGCGACTTCTTAGCATCGGTGCGGGAAGTGTACGAACACGTTTATGAAACTGTTGATATACAAGGATCTCAGGTGCTTAACATTTAATACATAGTTTGTATCCGTACTGACCTATATTATTATTTTTTTTGGTAGGATGTCCGTGCGTCAGCTACAGCTAAAGCAACCGTTGCCGCTTTTGCTGCTAGTGAAGGTCATGCTCATCCAAGAGTAGTGGAATTGCCCAAAACAGAAGAAGGACTTGGATTTAATGTGATGGGCGGCCGAGAACAAAATTCTCCGATCTATATATCACGCATTATACCCAGTGGTGTAGCTGATAGACATGGTGGTTTAAAGCGAGGGGATCAACTTTTGTCAGTTAACGGAGTGGTTGGTTGCTTTTCAAACTTTATTTATTATATTGTGTTTATTCTTACTTAAATAAAATATTTTTGCAGTGCGTTGAAGGTGAAAATCACGAAAAAGCTGTAGAACTACTAAAACAAGCCCAAGGATCTGTTAAATTAGTTGTCAGATATACACCAAAAGTTTTGGAAGAAATGGAAATGCGATTTGACAAGCAACGTGCTGCTCGAAGGAAGCAACTAAACCAATAATTACATACTGTTGGTATGAACATTAGTCTACATAACTATGAATAGTATTTTATCAACTTAAATGGCATACTTATTTAGTTTAAAGGTTGTTAAAATATTCGTATAATATGATTGTCACTAAGTCTTGTCCTTACTCATATATTGATGTCCTCTAATCAAAGAAAATTTGTGTTTTGTGTTTGCAATAACAACCCTAAATTATATACAATAATGTAGTAATTACATTTAATTAATTAATAAGTAACAACAAATTGATTTACTTAAACTATATGCTTAGGTTAATCAACATAGAAATAACAATATACCGACAAATAATTGTAGATTTAAACCCACCATTAAAATAATTTATTGTAGGTCACATCATATAAAAGAAACACATTTCATAAATTTGGTTATTCTCCACATCTATAAGAACTTGTTATGTACACTTTAATGTAATTGAATTAAACATTGGTTTCATTTCATAAATACCTTAAAATTTTTAATCAAATTTTTTTTCATTTTATTTGTATTTTACACATCTCAATACACGTCATATAAGAATGTTAAGATGTTTAAAGTTTTTATTTAGATAAAGGTTAATTGTTTAATATTATTTATGAAAATTCAATCTTGTGTTTATTAAACTAAAGGCGCATTCACAGCTACGTCGTGTGTCGTGTCGTGCGAGGGCTTGGTTATTATATGGTTACGACTGGTAACTAATATGGTTTAAAAGTTGAGCAGTAGTCAATTCTTGGTATACTCGGTTGCCTCTTGATTATTACATAATTCTAAAAAAGTAATATCCAATCACAATACGATTTGATCGACACGACGCAGCTGTGAATCCGGCTAAACACTGATATCCACTGCAGTAAAACCACCTTTCTTTTAGTAATCCGTTATAAATAATATTGAATATAAATTATAATATATACAACTGTTCGTTGTGATCATGCCGGAGTTTCGAAAATTACTTTTGCGCCACCATTATTAAAATTAATTTAGTGATACATCTTCCAACAAGGTTTTTATGGCACTTCAAGTGTTGTTTATAAATTATATTTTATAATTTTTTGTTATTACTTATTTTTTATTGTGGATATTGCTTACACTAAGCAAATACATTTTGAGTTTATTGAGTGTTTATAATATTATAGTTATACCTACATGAGTACATAGTTTTATTATTTAATTAGTGTTTCTAAGAATTTGTATTTATAGCTATAAGCCTAAAACTAACTCATCAAGACTATTATAGATTACTTATAATATACTTTATAGTTTAAGATTATCCCATTTTGTTTTTCAGTATTATAATTTATAATTTATACTAATATGAAGTATGATACACACTATAATATATTGTGAAATAATTACAGATAAAATCTGCAACTATCATTTATTACTTTGTTATTATACTAAATAATAAATATCATTATAGTTAATTATTATTCATTACCCGCTTACAAATTTTAAATAAATAAATATATTATAATTAATTATAATGTATAGTAATAATATTGAGTTTATTTATTTAGTCCAATTTGATAATTAATAAAACCATGTATCACTGGTCAGTAAGAAATACTAAAATAGTATAAATGTATAATATCAAATGGAAATGTAGTTGCTTCCATTATTATTTATTACTTAGTACCTACTTAAAAAATTATTTAAAAAAACCAAGCAAGCCACTCTTCTGTATTAAATTTTCAAAATATTATTTTTCTCCATATTGTGTAGAAAGTGACAAAGGCAGGGCCCCAGAATGATTTCATCCGTTTCTCGGGCCTGCTTATATTGTCTATTGAGCACGATTTAAGATATGGTCATAATAATGGTTATGTTATATTTATTATTTAAAAGGGCGCACTAGTAGACAAAATATAGCATAAAAACATGGTTTCGTAATTCCAGGTATACGGCTTATTGAAGCGTTTTACAGCATAAATACCTATAACAAAATTTGTAGAGGTGAATTTTTCCTAGAATCGTAAGGAGCCCGATTTTCGATATTTTTATTAATTAGTTAAATAATTAATTGATAAAAAGATAAAAAAAAACGTGTTAATTTACAATGCGATATTGGACGATTGGAACAAGATATCCAAAATCGGGTGGCTTTTTACGTTTCTAGAAAAATTCTCCTGTACAATTTTTATAATAGATATTTATGCTGTAAAACGCTTCAATAAACCTTATTCGGGCACTGCGTATTCCTGAAATAAATTACGAAACCATGTTTTTCGGTAAAAAAAACGTTTAAATACGCTTTGTTCTGCGCCCGTTATAGACAGCGGCAGCTCTCTATATTAGATATTCATACCACTACCCCGCGCGCGATAACGGCAGTACCGCACCATAGGTCAAAACAGATTTTCCATCGCAGCCGTGCGCCTGAACTATAATAGACCTGCAAGGAACGTACATTTTCGGCCCGGTCCGGTCCAAAAAAAATTGTGAAAAAAAATCCCTGGCCCGGTCCGAAAATAATGCTAAGCTCGTAAAAAGCCCGGTCCAGTCCATCAATTTTGTGCTCGAGTCCTCATAATTTATGATATATAAATAGCTTTATTATACCCACCAAATTGGCACCAATCAATATATTATTATATTCATTGTGATTGTATCTATACTATCCATAGAGTATACTCTTTATGTATCCATCTGTACCAAGGTTGGTTCTTATCATTATTATTTATTATTTTAAATTGTGATTATTTACTGTAGAAGAAAAATCCTTAAAAAGCCCGGTCCAACCCTTGATTTATTATTCGAAGTCCAGCCCGGCCCGGCCCGAAAAATTGTACAAAAAAAAGCCCAGGCCAGGTCCGGAATAAAATTCCAAGACTTATAAAGCCCGGTCCAACCCTTTATTTTATTTCGAAGGCCCGGCCCGGTCCAATGTCACTACTGGCCGGGCTTTTTAAGGACCGGCCCGGCCCGCGGCCCTTGCAGGTCTTTAGCCTAAACATAGTTTATAAATACCCAGATAAGAAAACGATTATTATATAATATTTTGTGACGAATATTATTTAATTTTGTTTGGTTTTATATTTTGTATTCATATATATATACAAATAAAAACTAGGGGGACGGAGTGGCCGAGCGGTCTAAGGCGTCGGTTCGATCCCGTGGTCACGGGCGGCATTTTTCTTTGGGCAAGTCACTGTGTCCGGAGAACAAATGCCGCCATCCCCCACCCGGGCATGGCAGATACCTACGGGTGCCCAAATCGAAAATTCTGCCAAAACCCACACACGTGTTAACAACCTACAGTTCCCCCCCTACAGTACCACAGGCTAATGATCTTTGTTGTCGAAGCCTCAACCCTAATAAAAAAAAAAAAAAAAAAAAAAACTATACTTTTGTTTTCCAAGTAATACGGCTTATTGAAGCGGTTTACAACAAAACTACCTATTATAAAATTTGTAGAGTTAATTATTGTGATAAAGTAATATTGTTATCTTATCTATTATATTCCTATTTATTATATCTTAACTATATTCTTTATCTGTTTCATAATAATATTATAAGTTGCAATGTCATGTAGTTTATTGTGTAATAATGTAATAATGTGCACCACGTTTTTGTTTAATAAAGCCTTAAGTATTAAAGGTCTAGAATACTATTTCACAACAATTTATTAAACAAAAACTTATTAATCAATATGGAAAAACTGCTGAGACCCGATCGTTTTGAAGCAGACCAAAATTCACCCACAGCAGCCAAGGAGTGGTCTCATTGGAAGAAATTGTTCCAAAATTATATTGCAGAGGCCAAACTAAAAGAGGAGGATAAATTAAAGGTACTCATTAACTTTTTAAGCCACTCAGTGTATGACCATATAAGCGACTGTAAAGATTTCAGTGATGCTATTAAAATTCTAGATGGTATTTATATAAAGCCTAAAAATGAAATATTTGCCAGACATCTATTAGCCACAAAGAAACAACTGACAAGTGAATCTATTGACCAATACTTGCAGTCTCTAAAGATTTTAGCTAAGGAATGTACATTTAAAGCCGTTAGTCCCTCACAGTATAAGGATGAGTACATAAGAGACGCATTCATTAATGGTATCATGTCTAATAGCATCCGTCAACGTCTGTTAGAAAACGACGAACTAAGTCTAGAACGAGCAGTGATGCAGTCACGAGCGCTAGAGATGGCACAAAAGCAGTCTGAAGCCTACTCTATGCCTGTAGAATCTATAAATCATGTAAATACCGAAGCAGAAGACGAACAATCTGAATCAATGATCGCAGCCATCCGACAAAAATGTTTTTTTTGCGGGTATGACCGGCATCCGCGTAGCTCTTGTCCAGCTAGGGAAGCTGTGTGTAGGAATTGTGACAAAAAAGGTCATTTCTCCAAAGTTTGCAAATTAAAGAAAACTCAAAACTCAAATAAGTCTAATACAACTACTTCGGCTTTTATTGCAAATCTAGCCTGCATCTCTGCAAACTTACCGGGTGCTCTATCAAAAACAGTTATTAAAGTTAGAGTCAATGATATGGAAGCAAATGGTCTAGTGGATACTGGAGGTTCAAGTAGCTTCATAGATGATGAATTTGTCCAGTATCATAAAATAAAGGTATTTCCTAAGAAGGGACAGGTAGTTTTAGCATCTGCAGAGCATTCATCACACTTAAAAGGGTTTGTTTGCGTAGACTTATCATTGCAAGGGCACGTGTATAAAGATGTCAAATTATCAGTACTGTCAAAATTATGCACTGATGTTCTCATAGGTCATGATATATTACAGAAACACTCTAAAGTAGAAGTTACCTTTGGCGGGCCTAAATCCCCTTTATTAATCTGTAATATGTCTTCAACAGCAATAGAACCAAATGTAATAAAACCCATGCCCTCATTTGTAATAGAACCTCCTCGCCTTTTCAAGAACCTAGCTTCCAACTGCAAACCTATAGCTGTCAAATTACGCCAATATTCTGAGGAGGACTATACATTTATCAAGGATGAAATAATTAAATTATTGAATGAAAATGTTATTGAGGAGAGTATGTCGCCATGGCGAGCCCAGGTATTAGTTACAAAAACTGAAAACCATAAAAAACGCATGGTAATCGATTACTCTCAAACAATTAATAGGTTCACAATGTTAGATGCCTATCCTCTACCAAATATAAATGACCTAGTTTCCAAAGTAGCCCAATATAGTATATATAGTACTATAGATTTACATAATGCATACCATCAGATACCGATCCACGAGGAGGAAAGAGATTATACAGCTTTTGAGGCTGCTGGTCGCCTTTATCATTTTCGGAAAATCCCTTTTGGAGTGACAAATGGAGTGGCCTGTTTCCAAAGAGTGATGGATAAAATAATATCAAATGAGAACCTAAATGGAGTATACGCTTATTTAGACGATATAACAATATGTGGAAAAAATCAGTCTGAGCATGACCTGAACCTGAATAAATTTCTCAATGCAATGAAAAATTATGGACTCATACTAAATGAAAATAAATGTCAGTATTCTATGCAAACAATTACACTTCTTGGACACCAGATCACGAATAAAAGTGTAAGTCCAGACCCAGATCGATTGAAGCCTCTTTTGAATCTACCTCCACCCAAGGACGCCAAATCATTAAAGAGGGTTTTAGGTATGTTTTCTCATTATTCAAAGTGGGTTAGAAAATTCTCAGACAAAATCCATAATCTAATACTTTGTAAGTCATTCCCTATGTCATCATCTGCAATTGCTGATTTTGAAAGTATCAAGCTAGACATTGCCAATTCAGTAATAAGTTCTATCAGTGGTGATGAGCCCTTAGTAGTTGAGAGCGATGCCTCAAACCATGCGTTAGCAGCAACACTTAGTCAGAATGGGCGCCCTATAGCATTTTTCTCAAGAAGTCTCTCGAATTGTGAAAAGAAACACCCATCTATAGAAAAAGAAGCTTATGCAATTGTAGAGGCATTAAGGAAATGGAGACATTTTTTAATAGGGAGGCAGTTCAAACTTATAACGGATCAAGAAGCCGTATCTTTTATGTTTAACTTGAAACATTCAAGTAAAATTAAAAATGATAAAATTATTAGATGGAGACTTGAGCTTTCTTGTTTTAGTTTTGACATACAATATCGCCCAGGAAAGGAAAACACTGTGGCTGACACTTTCTCAAGAGTATGCGCTGTTGTAAATAACTCTAACATGTTATCTGATTTACACAAATCTCTATGTCATCCAGGTGTTACTAGAATGTTCCACTGGATCAAGAGTAAGAATCTACCATTTTCGATTGAAGATATAAAGAAGTTGACCAGTAGCTGTAATGTATGTGCAGAAGTAAAACCAAGGTTCTACAAAAAACAAGAAGGTCATCTTATAAAAGCTACTTCACCATTCGAGCGATTGAATATTGATTTCAAGGGACCGATACCATCTAAGACTGGAAATAATTATATCCTTACAATCGTAGACGAGTTTTCACGCTTTCCTTTTGCCATACCATGCAGGGATCTGAGCTCAGCCACAGTGATAAAGTGTCTGTCCTACCTATTTTCTATATTTGGTATGCCAGCATATATTCATTCAGATCGAGGAGCAGCTTTTCTCTCTCAAGAGCTCACAACTTTCCTGTGTACCCGAGGCATTGCCACTAGCCGTACAACGCCCTATAATCCCGCAGGGAATGGTCAGGTCGAACGGTATAACGGAATTATCTGGAAGACTGTCCAGTTGGCTATAAAAACAAGAGGATTGAAATTAGAACAGTGGGAAGCTGTAATAGCTGATGCCTTACATTCCATTCGGTCTTTGCTATGTACTGCTACCAATTGTACACCACACGAACGATTTTTCGCTCATCCTCGGCGCTCTTCAAATGGTGGAACACTTCCGTCATGGCTCAGCTGCCCCGGGAAAGTCTTCATAAAGAAACATGTACGTGCTTCAAAGTACGAGCCATTAGTGGAAGAAGTGGATTTAGTCGAAGTAAATCCTGAATACGCTTTAGTACGCTATGAAAATGGTAGAGAGTCAAATGTTTCGTTAAGAGATCTAGCACCTGTGGGTGACAGAACATTATATGAAGAACCTTCAGACAGAATAGATCCAAAAACAACACTTCAAGACACTCCAACCACAAGTGAGCCAAAGGAAGAGATGATTCAAACAGATGCTAGTACAGAAGGAACATCAAATGAACTTGATGGACCTCGGAGAACCACCAGAAATAAATCAACCCCTAAATACTTAAAAGACTATGTCACTAATTAATAATTAGTATTTTCTATGCTAGGGAGAATGTGATAAAGTAATATTGTTATCTTATCTATTATATTCCTATTTATTATATCTTAACTATATTCTTTATCTGTTTCATAATAATATTATAAGTTGCAATGTCATGTAGTTTATTGTGTAATAATGTAATAATGTGCACCACGTTTTTGTTTAATAAAGCCTTAAGTATTAAAGGTCTAGAATACTATTTCACAACAATTATTTTAACATTTGTAAGAAATTCGAATTTTTGATATCGTATTCCTATCGTCCAATATCATATGGTAAATTAACACGAATTTTAACTTTTTATCGATTAATTAATCAACTAATTAATAAAAATATCGAAAATCGGATTTCTTACGATTGTTAAAAAAATTCTTCTCTACAATTTTAGTAATAGGTAGTTTTGCTGTAAACCGCTTCAATAAGCCGTATTAATCGAATTATCGAACTATTTGGGTATGATAAAAAATAATAATTATTACGATATCGGACTAATTAATAATTAGGTAAGAAAAAACCAAAATTAAATCAAATGTTATTTCATTTAGTGTACATTACTAATATGGAACAATAAAATTATTACAAATTAAATGTCATATAATAATTATATTATAATCGTTTGTGTTCGGAACACCGATAAGATAATAATATGATACGATACTACGGCAGTCGTCCGTCGATACGTACGAGTAAATAATTTTTTAGTATACGGAAGACTGCGACGATGTATAAATGTCCCATCACAAGCCCCACACACAAAATGATTGTTATATACTTAGATGTGAATGTTTTATTCCATCCTTATTAAATGATTTAGGAATGGGAGGTGGCACTTTTCGTCGTTCAAGGTACCTATGTAGATTTTCTAATACTGTTAATATCAGCGAATTTGAGCTCCGTGAAGTTAGCCGCACAATGTCAAAATTTTGACTCCAAATTTTGTAAATAATTTGTAAGTCATTTGTAAGTATTTGTAAGCACAATTTGGTAATTTGTAAGTACAGCCGTTTTCGATTATCCTCAAAAGTTTAAATCACGGCTAACTTTCGCGAAACTTGGCCGTTTCGACATTTCAAAGCTTTTGACTACTCCAAATCGTCAAGGGCAATTCGTAAGTATTTGTAAGCACGAATTTAGAATTTGTAAGTCATCCCTTCCTTAATTATCCCTGAAAGAAAGTTGGCCGTGCTTTGTCGAGCTTTTCGAACTTTGACTGTGCCAAATCGTCAAGGGCAATTTGTAAGTATTTGTAAGCACGAATTTAGAATTTGTAAGTCATCCCTTCCTTAATTATCCCTGAAAGAAAGTTGGCCGTGCTTTGTTGAGCTTTTCGAACTTTGACTGTTCCAAATCGTCAAGGGCAATTTGTAAGTATTTGTAAGCACGAATTTAGAATTTGTAAGTCATCCCTTCCTTAATTATCCCTGAAAGAAAGTTGACCGTGCTTTGTCGAGCTTTTCGAACTTTGACTGTGCCTAATCGTCAAGGGCAATTTGTAAGTATTTGTAAGCACGAATTTAGAATTTGTAAGTCATCCCTTCCTTAATTATCCCTGAAAGAAAGTTGGCTTTGCTTTGTCGAGCTTTTCGAACTTTGACTGTACCTAATCGTCAAGGGCAATTTGTAAGTATTTGTAAGCACGAATTTAGAATTTGTAATCCCTTCCTTAATTATCCCTGAAAGAAAGTTGTGTTTATCTGTAAGTAAATATCTTATTTTATTAATATGAATAACATGATTATTTATTTTAATAAACACAAATCTCTTACCTGTAATTAAATAAACGACAATTTAAAGTCTATACTTAAATATTTTAATAATTATAAAGTTTTATATTAAGTATAATATTATTATATTAGTTTTTATAAAACCTATATGTGTAAAAAATGTTTGGTTTTTTTTATTTACTGGTTTACCATGGTTTTTATTATACAATTATAAAAAATATTTAAAAAATACAACAAAAATTTCCTCTTTAGGTTTTTTTTGTTATTAATTAACCCGTGGCAACTTGGGCCATTGCCCATTGTTTAGATACTAGGTTTTATATAATGGCATAATACATTAATATATAATAATATAATATTATAAACAACAAGCTAAGTTTAATAGAAGAAAATCAATACTTTAAAAATAAATTTTATTTTATTATAAATGTTATTTGAATAAAAAATATTAAATCAATAAAAAAATTCAAAATAAAGAGCCCAAGTTATTAAACAAACCTAGTATATTTAATAAAAAAATCTAATTCGTAAAATCTATTTATTTATAAAAATATACCCAATGAAAATGAAACAATAATGAATTAATAAATAAAATTTCAATCATACAAAAACCAACGTACGTAGTAGCAGCTCCCCCCCCAAAAAAAAATCACCTCATAGTAAAAATTAACCCCCTCATTAAAAATTAAAATTTTCACAATTTTTCTTCTGCAGACATTTAGCACGTAATTCGCACCTATTCGCAAGCCTAGATTTGAAATTCGCACGATCTTCCTTCCCATCAAAAAAAAAATAATTCACCTCATAGTAAAAATACAATGTTGTCTTTATTTATTTTTATCATCTATACTGAAGAAGATTTACTTTAGATAAAAAAAAATATGGATTGAATATAACAAATCTAAAAAGAATCTTAATAAAAATTTTGATTCAATTAAAAATATTAAACAAATCTAGATTGAAATTTTTTTATAAAACAAAGTTTTTTTTAACAAATAGACTTTTTTATTAAATTTACATTTTTATTAGGTAAATACAGCTTTTTTTAAATTAAATTTTGTGTTTTTACAATAGTTTTTTTATTCTACTTGTCTTTTTTTATTGAAATACAAATTATGAAAAAATCTTAATTCAATAAAAAAATCAATATTCAATAAAAAATCTTGATTGGATTGAAAAAATTAAACAAATCTTGATAAAATATTTTTTATTAAATAGTTTTTTTATCAAAAATAGTTTTTTTTATTATAGTTTTTTATCAAAAATAGTTTTTTTATTATATTTACATTTTTTAATTAATACAGATTTTTTTATTCTATTTAGATTTTCAATAATTTTTTTTAAATTTCTTTTTTGATTTATTATATTCAATCAACGTTTTTTTTATCAAATATAAATTTTTTTTCGGTAGAGATTTTTTCATAATTTGTATTTCAATTCAAAAAAACAATGTAGAATAAAAAACAATTGAAAAAACTAAATTAAATAAAAAAACATATTCCATAAAAAGACTTGATTGAATAAAATAAATCTAAATAGAAATAAAAAAGTCTTAATAAAAAATCTGATCAAATATAGAATTTTTAAATTTCTAATTAGATTTTTTACAAATTGTTTTTTATTTTAAATTTAATTTTATCATCAAACAGATTTTTATTATATAAGATTTTTTTTATTAAGAATATTACTTAATTACTATTTCTATTTGTTCTATTTTGTTTAGATTTTTTTCATTGAATATAGATTTTTTATCAAATTTAAATTTCTTATTATATTTAAAATTATTACATTAACTTTCGAAAAATTATTGAAAAAATCTAAATTAAATAAAAAAGTCTGTATATAATAAACATCTATTCGATGAAAAAATTATATTAAAAAAAAAATAATTAGTAAAAAAAATGTAAATAGAAATTTAAAAATTCTATGTTTAATTAAATTTTTTATTAATGCTTTTTTATTTCTAGTTAGATTTGTTTTATTCAATCAAGTTTTTTTATGGAATAGGTTTTTTAATTAACTACAGATTTTTTATCAAATATAATTTTTTTATTATATTTAATTTTTTTTTCACGAAATAGGTGAACGGGTTTTGCGCGCGAACCAGACAAGTGCGAATTTCGGTGTCTGTCATGCAAATTTATGCTAATTACATGCTAAATATTGGCGTGGAAACGATTTTGAATTTCCAAGTATTTCCCAAAGTGGGGGGGGGGGGCTGGGCTTATCACTACACAGTTTACTGGTAGGTACTCATTTAACAACTATTATTTGTTAAAGTTAACGTTTAAAATGATATGATATCAGATACAATTTAGGTTTATACAGGTAAAAAGGTAAGACTGGGTCTATTTCTATACCTACCTAAAGGCCGTTAACATTTAATTATATTGTGTACAACTAAGACACAAGAAAGTAAGAATGAAATAATTCTAATATTATTAATGTTGATGATTAATATAATATAATAATCATACGTGGTTAAATTAATAAAATAATAATACAATTATTAAAAATGATAATAATGAGCAAAAAAAAAAAATTTAATTTGTATAAAAAACATTCATAATAAAAATGAAAATATTAGAAAAAAGGGATTTTCCTTCATGTTTCTTGAAAAAAAGGTAGTTATGCGCATATTTGATGATAAACAAAACACAGACACTTCAATTTAACTTAAAACTACGATTTCAACGTCGAAGAAAAACTTACGTGAAAATTGGTGAGTATCTATGGAAAGAAAATGCATTCCTTGATTATTATTTGTTATCATATAAGATTATGCTGTCTGCTGTTATCAACCACACTGTGTCTAATGATTACAACAGGTTGATATAAGGTCAAGAAGGGTTAACATAAAAACTAATATAATAATATTATACTTAATATAAAACTTTATAATTATTAAAACCTTTAAGTATAGACTTTAAATTGTCGTTTATTTAATTACAGGTAAGAGATTTGTGTTTATTAAAATAAATAATCATGTTATTCATATTAATAAAATAAGATATTTACTTACAGATAAACACAACTTTCTTTCAGGGATAATTAAGGAAGGGATGACTTACAAATTCTAAATTCGTGCTTACAAATACTTACAAATTGCCCTTGACGATTAGGCACAGTCAAAGTTCGAAAAGCTCGACAAAGCACGGTCAACTTTCTTTCAGGGATAATTAAGGAAGGGATGACTTACAAATTCTAAATTCGTGCTTACAAATACTTACAAATTGCCCTTGACGATTTGGAACAGTCAAAGTTCGAAAAGCTCAACAAAGCACGGCCAACTTTCTTTCAGGGATAATTAAGGAAGGGATGACTTACAAATTCTAAATTCGTGCTTACAAATACTTACAAATTGCCCTTGACGATTTGGAGTAGTCAAAAGCTTTGAAATGTCGAAACGGCCAAGTTTCGCGAAAGTTAGCCGTGATTTAAACTTTTGAGGATAATCGAAAACGGCTGTACTTACAAATTACCAAATTGTGCTTACAAATACTTACAAATGACTTACAAATTATTTACAAAATTTGGAGTCAAAATTTTGACATTGTGCGGCTAACTTCACGGACCTGCGAATTTGGTTGTACCTTGTACTACATGAAGATAGCTCCGTACGTATTATTTTATTTGGCTGTAGATTTAAAACTCCCAGCAAATTTAAACGTTCAATAGTATTCGGTTCATGTTCATCTGTTCATGGGCCATGGCTGTCTTTTATATCGATTAGTGTTGATTTTGAACAATTCGTTTTTACATACGCACTACAATTTTTTTTAACGCAACGCCACCTTTTTTTTCCGAAACCAAAAGTGTAACGTAAAAATTAAAAATAGTTAAAACTGGTAAATAATATGTACAATAGTTATTAGTTAGGTAAAAGGTAATAAGTCGTATTGCATTATATCCAGAATATAGTTTGGCAACGTTGCATGGTTTTATAACGAATTTTTATTAAAAATATTTTGGGCGCAAATGGGTTATAAAAAAGGTGTGATGGGCGTGGATAGGTCGCATCGAAGAAGCCTATTAATTATTATAGGTAACGATAATGAATCAATGAGTGATGTGTTGATATGGTATTTAAGTATAAATGTATAATACATTTTAAATATAATTAAAGGGTTCTATACGTTTGTCAATAGATAGGTTATAGCCGTTATAGGTAGCATCCATCATCATTCATCAGTCATCATGTCATTGTGTTATTATTATTAGGTCTTACTTACGGGACATGTTAAAACTTATTTTTTATTCATACTTATGTAGTTTTTTAAGCTGACTCGGTGCAATCAAAATATGTGGGGGGGATCGAGCTTATTTTAAGTTATGGAGTTTTATCTACAAAAATTGGCCCAATTGCTTTGGATATCATCGGTTTTAATGTTGAAATCGTTAAAATTGTTGATTTTCAAAAAAAAAAGTAGGTATCTCGCAGAGTATAAAAAAAATCCATAGGTTATTTTAATATAAAATTTACTCAAAATATTGTTTTAAACACATGGTTTTTTATTGATGTTTAAAACGTGTTTTGAACGTTTCAAACGAAATCAATATGTTTTTTTTGTGATGTTTTAAATGTGTTTTAAACAAAACGTCTTAAACATAACAACCCTTAAAAAAAACGTCTTTAACTCTAAAAAATGACGGCAGATACGTGAAATGTTTACTGAATGTTTATATTAGCATTTTCTATATACCCGGCACTTATACATTGGATGTTTTGGGAGTTCAACCCCCCCGAATTTTTTTCTTTGTACGTGCCTTTACACTAATTTTTAAAATATTTTGACTCATATTGATTTTGCTTTAAATTTATTATATAGGCATATGACATTTTCAATTATTCGGTCCGATGATTCTGTAAGGATTTTTTTTTTTTAGTTGATGTTGAATTTTAATATCGGAATTGACGATTGTTATTTTCCACCGATTGTAAATACAATATTGTGATAAACCACAAGTTCTTATATTATAATCACAGTGTAGAATTTTAAGACTTCCAGTATTAGAATATATATATTTTTTTTATGTCTGTTGGCAGGACTTGGGACCTAAGTAATCCACGAATTTTTGACCAAATGATTTCCTAGAGTAATTTATTTTTGTATCATATGCTTTGCTTTCTCTAATATTAGTTATATTATTTTCATATATTAACCATAATCCATAAATATTCATAAATCAGACGTCACCCATAAACTCGAAGACCTATAAGCATTTTTACTACTACTATTTTTACTAAAATGTGAAAATTTTGAGTGTAACTACGGTTATTCGTTTCTGAATTACAACAAAATATCAAAAATCGATAGGTAAATGAAAATTCGTTAATTATTTCCCGGTGAAGATCCAATATCATAAAAATGTTAAATTCAAACTTCACAAAAAATTAATGTTATTTCCCATAACATTTTTTTGTTTAAGGTAGACAAATTTGTGAGAAATCTTCTATTAAAAGTTTTAATGTTAGGTATGGAAAGATAAACTTATATGAATTTCTTACTGAAAAATAATTTGAAAATTTTCGAGATTTCGATGAATTTTATCCTAATTTAAACTTTAATGTATGTATATAAAATACAGATTTATGTAAATAATTCTTTGAAAAAAGTTTATTAGGTACGTTCCAAATTAATTGACTTAAGAAAATATTAATATTTTAAAAAAAATCTACAATATAAACTATATGTACTTCACTTAAAAAAATATTTTTACCAAAATTAACCTTATAATCAAATTTACAAATTGGCTATTTTGAATATTTCTAAAATAATTTTAATATAAATTAAAATTTTTTAGTTTTAGTTTTAAAAAGGTGCTCTGCTGCAGGTACAGTAGGTTACAAGGGGGTCAGTGTATAATGGATGGTATTAAATTTTAATTCAATGATATATCATTGTATAAGAAAAACGATTCTGAGCGGAAACGGTATGTCAGTCTAGGTATAAGACATATTATATACTTATCTAATATGGTATTAAAAAAAAATTGACCTATAATAAATTCCAAATTAATCATATCACAATAGCCATTAGGTACTTATAACTTGGTATACATCAACAACAAACCGCGATACTATAATAGATATATAATAGTATACTATTTAGAAGTTTCAATTACCCACGAATAATATTATACAATCACAATAAAATAACTAAAATAGTTATTCTAGGTTTTTTATTATGTAATTTTGTCCAAATTTGAATTTAAAATGTCTGTAAAAAATAACTGTGTTCATACATTTTTTAGATATTTTGGTTACAGTATGAACTATTTATCCATGTATTTTATCTATATTGTGCTGTGGATACCAGTATACCACGCGATACCGTGTTGTCACTAGTCGACGAGATAACGAGTGATGGCGGTGATAACAACGTACGACGGCAATTCGTATTACTTAAATAGTTAAATCATACTGCATAATATGCAATCAGAGTAACATACTTAAATACTTCATACTGCCAGTGCGAGCCACTCATTTCAAATTGCGTTCTCGGTGCATACGGCAATGGATTTGGTGGCCGGTGCTAGTTCAAATTGTTTAAAGTCGTCCGGCGTTCGTAGTTAGCATAAAATATGCTGTCCCAATGCAATTTTCTCGCAATAGCGAGATTGAACGTGTTCGTCCCTCGTCGGCTGTTCGTCTCTTGTACGGTTTGTTTATCCAAGTGTACAACCACAACGTCCGGACAGAGAAAACATCAATTTAGTCGCGACCTCGGATGTTTAACCGCCACACACAACCTTAGATCACACATACATTACACTTGCGGCAGACAACAGACTATGACTACAACGACTCCGCCGACGTCGACGCCGCCACCGCCGCCGGATGATGACAAGTCGCAAAGTATCTTTCAGAGGTTCAAGAACATGGCCAAAAAGTACTGGTACATTGTGCTACCCGTTCACCTGGTTACATCGACCGTATGGTTTGGTTCGTTTTACTTCATTGCCAGCATATGCGATGTGCCCGCACTGTTGGAAAAGTTGGGCATTCCCAAATATTTTATCGACAAAGTAAGGGACGGCAACTCGTGGACCAGTTACTTGGTAATCGCCTATGGTCTGTATAAAATTTTTACGCCACTCAGATATATGGTAACACTAGGTGGCACTGGTATGACCATACGTTATTTGAAAAGAATAGGGTATGTAATCGGTGAAACGCCATGTCCCAAGAAGCCATAAACATTATAAAGACGCACATTACTTTATAGTATATTTATAAGATTGTTTGAATATGTTAATGAATAGATAAAAGTCTGTTGTGATTTTATAATTTTATGTAATATTTATAACCAACATAATATTTTAATTTTGTAAAAATGTTATCACAATATATTCTATTAGATTTCAATTAAAACTGTTTTTTTTTTTTTTTTTTTTGTTATTGTATCATTACAATATTTTTCTAATCCTTGAAACATATGAAATCTAAAAGCTTGACCAACTATTAAAAAAAAAAAACATAATATTATGTACTTAAGTAGTAATTTGTTGCCAGGTTGCATGAAAAATGTATTAGTTTAATGATTCAATAAAATTTAATGGACTAATCTTGGCCCTTGGCCCATTAAATGATTTTAAAGGACCATTAGCTCACTATTGATCCGTTAAATTTTTACCAATTGTTCATGCAACTTGATATATGCGTACTATTTTTTTTTTATAGCATGTTAACATTTTTTAAAGTAATGATGCCCCTGCATACCCAGATAGATACATTCACTCCTCCCCGAATAAGCCTCTGGACCTATTGAATGGGGCATAATTTGCGGTATAATCACTAATCAGTCATGAGACTATTTTGTTAATTTAAAGATCACTCAATCTAGCTGATGACAAACTTAGATTATTTTAATAAGATTAGATATTATTAACAAAATTATAGATATAATGAAAATTGAAAAGTATTCACATTACTTAACTTGTTTTCATATTGAAAGTGTTAGAATTATTGTTTCTTATCGTTATTTGTACTGCTAAAGTTTAGTTTATAAATAGGGTGAGATATGAGAATAATATTAGAGTATCTACTAATAAATGTCTTTGAGAATGGTAAAATGTAATAATTAATTTAAGTTATTTCAAATAATAGTCATTATATAAATCAAATTAATTTAAATAGGTTCCTACCTACGACTCATAACTCCTAAGTCTCATAATTAAATTACATTTTTATTAGTCTCATTCATATTATGTGTGAATATATTTTGTATAGTTCAGTGAAGAAAATCACTTGCACACTCAATAAACATACCATGATGTTAATGACAAGCAATTACCAACAAGTAGTACCTAGTTTGATTTAATTTGATTCAGAGAAATCTAGATTCGCCTTGTGAAAATCTATTATTCAGCTGACTGGCTTTTTTCAATATTGATTGTTTTTGAGCGTTATCGAATTTGTTACATTGCAGATCAATATCCCTACTAAAAGGTCTTCTTTCTGCAGGTTCTTCTTTAATCTTTTCCTAAAAAAAAATCAATTAAATCATTACTTTAAAAATCTTAAATATGGTTTCATTTAACTTAATGAAATCCTAAAGTTAATTTTTTAAATTACAAAGACCTTCTGGTCCAATTTTGAGCAGTTAATCAGCGGATCGACTGACAATTCATTTTAAGTTTTTGGTCTGTGAAGTAGTATCAAGTATTAAACTCAATGATCATTGAAAGTTGTAACTGGTAAAATAAAAAATATAATTTTTTGTTTTATTAAATTCACCTTTTTTTGTTTTTTTAGTTTTTCTTGGTGCATTTCTAATAATGAATAAGGTTTCCGTTTTACTGAGGTTTCTGCCAGTTTTTCCATTTCCTCATCGCGTTTTTGAATTGAAATCAGTTTCAATGCTTCCATGTCCGTTTCTTCAGCAGTTTTTGGTTCTTGAACTTTACGTTGTTTATCTGTCGGCGTATCAGTCCATTCTGATCGGTTACTCATGTCGGGAGCCTCTCGCTTCCTGAACTGCCTTGCCCCTAAACCTAGGTTGGCAGCTTTTTCTGGCGGCAGCTCCAACATCCATTTCTCTCGAACCGTTTCCTGTTTGTTGTCGTCATATACCTACAAAGAAGTAATTACGTTAGTTCATTTCAAACGATTGAAACAAAGTGCGCTTACAAATATCATGCTTATGCAAGTAAATAAACTGTACAAACTTCTCCGGCAAATTTTCGTTTCATATATTCGGCTCGCAGTTCCAATTGTTTCTGTATGAATAGTTGCTCGGAGTCTGAAGTTATCAGCTCGGCCGGTAATGGACCGAAACCCGAGATGTCTTCATCAATCTGGGCGACTACTGTATCTTCTATTTTGAAATCCAAGGGCAACGACGGTCCTGGAGCGCGTTTCTGCGGAACCAGGTGTGGTGGTAAGCTAGGTCCGTACGAGTGGTTGAGTTCACCGGCCTCTGGTCCTGGTATAGTGGCCTCGTGTTTACCACGGTCGGAGCTGGACAGGCCGGGCGGCAGAACTGGCCCGATGGGTTTGGCCACTGCGTCTCTCGTTTCACCCGCGGTCGGCGTTGCCACAGACACCGATTTTGGACGCACGTCGCTCTTGAGCGGAACGATCGGAACGTGATATTCGTGATCGTCTTTGGGTTTGTGTTTGCTCTTTGAATGTTTGTGTTTTTTGTGCTTTTTGTGTTCTTTTCCCATAGTTGTCGTTGTCTACGGTGCATGCGAACGATTTCTAAAACATTTACCCGGTTCTACGAACGAAACATAATATTGTTAATAATTAATAATTTATTGAACGAAACGGGCAAACCTTCGATTTTTGAAAAACCAAACGTAAACATTATGAATGTCTTTAAAGTATAGACGATAACATACTGATAACTGAAATATTGGATGCCTGTGGCCCGTGCCCCGTAAACGTAAACAATATTTTTGGTTTCCCGCGTCATTGGATTTTTTAAATTTTTAATTCCCTAAACTCGCGTATTGTTCGGTGGTAGCTATTAACCTATAGCCATCATTGATTACAATAATAATCTACAGTAACTTCAGAAATATTATTCATCTACATTCTACAGCCTTGGATTACACCACCTACCTAGCTACAAATCAAAAATAATACAACAATAATATCAATAATACCTATAGATGCGTACCGTACCGTCGTCGTCTGTTTCAAGTCTTTATAGTAGGTTTTTCCGATTTCGGAAGTCAGAAAATCAATCTTTGTAAGTAATTATAAGTTATGACGATACCCTTTTGACTTATAACTATAGGTTGACCGGCACCTTTCAAAATTTTTTTTTTTGGGGGGGGGGGGGGGGCAGCCCAGAGGCACCCTAGGCTGCCACAGTATACACGCCTATATAGGTCCACGCCACTGTACAACAAGGAGCATATTATTCAAACATTTCAAAGTGGTTATAACTAAAGTACTAGCGAAATGTACGCAGACACCACGTTGTCTCGAGCGAGTATAATATGCTAAAATATATGTGGAAATATGCAATTTTAATTTAATTTATTTATTAATTTAACATTTCTATTGTTTTTTAGTTATTTTCTGGAATGAAAGCCAATCAAATTGTGAAATTTTAAATCCATATCGGCAACAGAGTTGCAGCAAGCCGATAGGTTCAAATTGCAATATTTTTGTAGGTACACCGTACACATTATATATTTATTTATTAAATACAAACGGGAATAAGTCAAAGTGACTAAAATGGTATAAGATTCAAAATAGCATGCAATACAGTACGATAATGAATAAAACCTTAAATATTAAACATGAATATTATGATACAGTCGTTCGTTTCAGTCTACCGTCTGAAACTGTACACTTTTTCGACGCAATAGAGTTTCCCTTCGACTTTAATACTTTATATACTTATTTTATATTAAGTATAAGTATAATATTATATTATGATATAATATTTATTATAGATTGTTAGATATTTGTACATAACGTTATTATTATATAATAAATACTTACGTTAAATATAATTTATGGCTATACTGGACGGCGTATCTGTATGTCCGACAGACTCCAAAATATAAGTAGGTACCTATTTACAAACTTTCATAATAAAATATATAAAACGGCTTGTCATGTAAGTAATATATTTCTAATAATAACAAACGAAATAAACAAATTGCGATGGCGTCGCGTGAACGTTTTCAGATCGTGAGTCAAATAAAAATCATATATTTTCCATACAGTTGAGGTTTTTAGGGGGTGGCCAAGGGGACACTCACCCCCCCCCCCCCCCTATTGGATTTTTTTGCATGTCCTTTTTTAAACTGAAATTACACTAAATGCTTGAATTGCTTTAATTATGGTGGAGGGAGGCCAACAATTGAAAATAGCCCCCCCTTGATGTTTTATCAAAACCGCCACTGTTTCCATATATTGAGCCAACAGGAATTCACAGTAATGATTATTACATTTTAGAATATTTTTTTCAGTGTAGATATTATCTATGATATTTTCCGCACACACATATTATTATACGTGCAGCATATTGCATGTACAACCGTCCTGTATAGCCTTTTCCAAACCAACCCTAGGGGAATCCTCGCCGCACAGAGGCTCCTCGAAAAGTCAGATCGACAGACACTCACTCGCTACTGAGTTATTATAATATATTTTGTCGTCGATAATCACCGTTACACGAAGTATGTTGTTATGGTGGCGATTTTCGAGGAAAAATGATCGAAAAACTGCAATGTCTGACGTATATAAAAAAATTTATATATTTTATGCATTCGACGCGTGATGGATCGGAAAAATACAGGAAACGGTCGTAGAATAATTTTATATTAAAGGTAGGTAGGTAGATAGGTTTTGACGACAATATTATTATTATTTATTTATTTACTGGTTTATTATGTTTCTCGTTTATTTATCGTGTTTGTCGACAGGCGTTCTGACGTTCTGTATTGTAATATATTATCAGACATACGGCGTCCCTGTGGGATGTGCCGGTGTGCGATTTCACAATCATTATATTGTTTCAAGTCGTTCCAAAACCATGTTTTTATTAAAAATTTTGTTTTTTAACTATTATAAGCATAGGCGTGCGCAGACCTTGCTGGCAGGGGGGGCAGAATGTAATAATGTACCTATAGGTATATTATATAATATATAGGTAAGTAAATATTATTTTGGTTATTAGTTCAATTAATGTAAGTGATGGAAGTATTTTCATTTTATGTATCATTAAAACTACAAATAACTACAAATTTAATATAGTAATTTATTGAAACTCCAAAGTTTTTTTATATTATATTAATATACATGAACAAAGAAAATTATTACATTCATACAGTGGTGGTCCAGGGGGATGGCAAAGGGGGCATTTGCCCCCCCCCCCCAATAACCGTAGTTTTCCTTTGTTTTACACTGTGTTTAGCCAATTTTGGAACTTTCATATACTTTTGAGCCCCCCATGCCCCTCCCAAAATTAAGCCCTGGATCCGCCACTGCATTCATATATATTTTTATGCCCGATGTGTTGGTGAAATCTGAATTTACTAATTCTACTTACTTTTTATTTACAATTACAAAAAAAGTAAGTAAGATAGGTAAATTATTATTTGCACCAACACGTTGAACATATTATAAATATCAACATTTTAAAAAAAATTTAAATCCTTAGTATTGCATTTACATGATTTTTCCAAAAATAGTACCACTATTATATCATGCATTAATGTATCAATAATATTCTATTCTTTGGTAATATTGAAATTTATACATTATTGTAGGCATGTAACCTATTATTTAAACTGTTTTATACATTATACTTTATAGGTATTTAATAGTATTAGGTATATAATAAACAATTTGATTTGTAGGTTACAGTATAAATAGAAAATTAATTTCAATATAAAACACCACATTAAAAAAAAAGATAGGTATATTCTGATTTAATCAACACGTTGAGCATAAAAATACTATAATACTAAAAATTCCGAAAATTGCTTCGGAAGTAAAGAGCTATAATATTTGTTCGTATACTGCATACTAATTATTATAATTATTAATTACTAATTATTTAAAGAACCGACCTTCTTAGCGCTTCCGGTGAACGTTTTTCGCATTAAATGCCGTCAAATTACTACTCACTTTCATGTCTCATCACATCTCAATCTACATCATGCTATAATAAGATTATAAGCACTCGTTATCACCGCGGTATCGCTTGTGGTTCGCTTAAAGTTGGACAACATAAAATCATCGTGCACTGTACATCGAGCACTCAATGTTTACATAATATTCATTATATAAAACTGTATTATAATATTTTTTTAAAAACTTTGTTATTTTGTAAGAAAACTTGAGCCCGCAGGAGGGGCAGCTGCCCACCCTGCCCCTCCCGTGCGCACGCCTATGATTATAAGCCGTTAGTGGTTAGGTACTCTCCCCTTCAGTGCCATGGTGAATGATAATTTCAGAGATTTTCTTAAATAGAGAGGTGGGTGGTAGTCGGTGGGTACCCTGGTAAATGTAATATGATATACTTAATAGGTAACCAATAATGATCTGAAATATAATTAGTTATATTAATACATTATTATGCAATTTATCCTTGGGATATTTGTAACTTGTCTCTGGAAAATTTTCAGTTTGCCACGCCACTGCTCTCCTTCGACTGTATAAGTAATTTTACAATAATAGTATTATAAGACAGTATATTATAGGCCACACATTTAAAGTGTACCATGTTTTTCAATGCTTTACATTACGTTGTGTAGTCTTTTTTTCAAAAAAATTCAAATTGGTACCCATTTTTTCTACAGATTTTAAATGTGTATCTTTTTTTCTACACATTTCAAATGGGTAACTTTTATTGCTACTCATTTAAAATGTGTACCATGTTTTTCAATGCATTATATTGTGTGTAGCTTATTTTTCTACACATTTAAAATGTGTAGCATTTTTTCAATACATTTTTTAATTGTAGCTTATTTTTTCACTCATTTAAAATGTGTATCATGTTCTTCAATGCATTACATTATGTGTAGCTTTTTTGCTACACATTTATAATGTGACATCATTATTATTGTTAATAAACTGAAAATTAAGGTAAGCTTTGAAATATTTTAAGTAACTTAAGGGGGGCGGGGGCTTCTTAAATGGCTCACCCCGCATGCAGCGATACCACAAGGAAAAAAAAGCCCCCCTTGTATCCACGCCTGCATAACCTATGGACCTATCGGTAGACCGTAGTTTTAAATTTATCCAATCTTGGTAACCTGAGACACTGCAAATATACTATTACTAATATAAGTTTAGATAAGAAGAGTTAAGTAGTGTTCCATGATTATCATTGTTTATTTTAAACAAAAGGTACACGTATTTTTATTGTATGCTTAATTTAAAATAAAAAAGCGTACAGAGGGCGGGGTTTTGCACTAAAAAAGTAATAAGTGCCAGCTAGCTGCTAGTTTCTATTACCTATTATATGACAATAGTCATGGACATTTTTAAGATTAATATTATCTTAGCTTGAATATACAATTAGAGTAATTAATAGTTTTATTTGACAAATGTTGTATTTACACTTCTCAATAAAGTTAACATTTTGATTAATCATATTACAATTTGAGGTAATTTATAAATAATAATTTTTTTACCAAAAAACAACTTTAAATATTACAGGTAAACGAGTAACTTACAAAATAATAAAAATAAAAATAAATTCAATTTTTCAAAATATAAATAAACAAAAATATAAATATCTATTTAACGAAACACTCATTCATCTCTGGTCAGATGATCAGGACATAATGACTCATTGTTGGGACTTTGTACTTCTTCAGCGGAGGAGCTCTGATTAACTTCCCAGTTATCTATATTAATAAAAATTAACATGTTAGTATACAAAAAATAAAAATACGATCAGAATCGATTTAAGTAATTTTAATATATTATTGAGATATTACTAAAAATATATATATCAAAATCATTCACCACATTTTCATCGAAATTATTTATTAATAATAACATAATAACTAAAAAGTTGGATTTGTTATTACAGCTCTTCTGTACAGTAATTGTTGAGTATGTCATTGTAGTGGATATATTAAATTTGTAATAAATAATTATAAATCATTGTATACGAAAAACGATTCTGAGCGGAGACGTTGTCAAACTTGTATAATCAATTTTGTTTATAAAAATCTAAAATATCTCATGGCTATAAATAGCATGATTTTCCGGTAAACTTATTCTTTTTGATATGAGTAGAAAAATTTTTAGGAACCTTCCATTCCAATTTCTTATGTTAACTATGAAATAAAAACTTTTATGAATTTCTAACTAAAAATAATTTACAAAATTTAAAAAAATGATCATGGCTGAAAATAGCTCAAGAGTCAAAATTTTTTGAAAATATTACTATATATGGAATAAAAGTAATTTAAACATTTGGTGAAGAATTAAAGTATCTAGGATTATTTGTTTTTGAATTACAACAAAATATCAAAAATAAATGGATGAAAATTCAAAATCATAAAAATTTTAAATTTAAACATTCATAAAAAATTAATGTTATTTTTCAGTAAACTTTTTTTTTTTTTGAAGGTAGGAACATTTTTGGGGAGTTTTCTATCAAAATTTCTAATGTTAGTTAGAAAGTAAAACTTATAAATTTCTTACTGAAAAATAGTATGAACATTTTCAAAATTTTGATGAATTTTAACTTTAAATGCATGTAAAAAATAATTGTGCCCATGTATCTTTAATATTTTTGAACTTACATCAATGAAATTTATAAGGAACATTATATTAAATTTTAAAGTTTCAACTAGTTCAAAGAGTCAAAAGATTTTGAACTTGTTACGATTCATTGAAAATGATAGTATAAATATTTGGTGAAAATTTCAAAGGTTTGCAGTTATTACTTTATTAGTTATTGAGTTACACCAAAAAAATTAATTTAATTTTTCAAAACTTGGTTTTGCATAAAAATTACCACTTTTTTTTTTGTTTTTTAATGCTTTATAAAATTACTTGAAATGTTCAATTTCGACCTCCCAAAAGTACCAACTAAATTCACTTTTCTAACAGAAAAAAAAACATCATGTAAAATTAATTTTGTTCCGCTCAGAATCTAAAAGGTAATAGAAATATATAGATACAAAATATAAGATAAAAAGATATCTGCATCGGCGTAATTAGGGGGGGCTTAACCCCCTCGTACTTCTATTTAGCCCCTCCTTAGGCTCGTTTATAAAATATGATGTAATATAATTGACATTGTGTACAGTGTAGGTATGTACCAAGTACAAATTTATCGTAATTTGTCAGTTTTCGGGGAAGAAATGTGTTTATGTGTTTAAGGTATCTGCTTATTGCATATTAGCTTCAAGCTTACCTATATAACGTCTCTATTACATATTATTATATTGATATATTATTTTATTATTTTTAAATAGATGCCTGTGTCCCGTATTGGTATACCTATTCTTATATTATAGTTACCTATATTAGTTATATCGCACATTATACTCTTTTCAGAATAAGAACGCACCAGATTTACGTAACAAAACCGGTTTTGTCCGTGGCCGCCTGGTTCCTTCTTATTCTGAAAAGAGTATAGTACAACAGTGGTTGAATACTACTATATAATCATTTTATATTCCAATTCTCAGTTCTGAATTTACTGTGCGTCTGTGGCACTCTCTGTGCAGAGTGAAAAATAGGTAGGTACTATTACAGATTGTTATGGCCGTTATTTTTATCTTTGAGTCCGTATACGGTATACGTAAATACGTTACATTTTATTGTATACAATTCTCAAAATGTTCAATATATTCAAATTAAAAAAAACCAGCTGTCTGAAGAACGAAGATAACCCAAAAAAAATTATGGTTTATATTAAACTTTAGTTTTAGCATACTTTTTGTAACAACAAAATTTCGGTGAATCTTATAAGGGGGGTGTGGGGAGCTTTCCCCCCCATGTATTATTTCACACTTTGGTTTTGTAGGACTCTAACCCCTGTAACTAATAAATCCTAATTACGCCTATGGATATCTGAATTATGATAATATGATTGATTTTGTCACATGATTTTTTAATACTGTGTTGTCAGACTTTGTAGAAATCAAGCAACATAATTATTGGATAATAGAAAAATCAATTACCTATATAGGCGTTGTCTACAAAAACGGAATTGATTATATCTTCAAGGTCATCAGATATATCTGACATATCTAAAAACCTTAAGATCAAAAATAATTATTAATATTGTTTAATATAGTTGTGGTACAATTGTAATAAGATTTACCTATTTGATAAATTTGTATTGGTTGTTTCTTGAGTTACAGGTTGTTCATTTTTCTGTAAACATAATAAGTTTTTTCATAAAAATCAAAATGACTAATTGTTTTTTACATTATTTACATTTAATATGGGGTTATGTAATCCACGAACTATCATAGTTTGACGAGACAAATCCTCAAGTCCATTTTCAGACATTCTTAGATTTATTGGATCTGATGAACTTGCCACCTCGCTAGAAGATTCTGAAACTTTAAACACACATTTTTGTAAAAATATAACTTAAAGTAATTGAGTGTTTGAAGGTAAGATTTGATTTAGTAGCTACAGTACTAGATTTTATTTAGTCTGACATTTATATTTACTATCAGGAATATTAGATACATTTGTATCCAATTTTAATACTTGTATTTTTTTTTTACATATTTTGTTATTGTGTCAAAGATACAGTAAATACATAGTATGTTGTATCTAAATACTTTTTTCGTAAATGTATCTGGTATTCAGCTAGCCATCTTTTTAATTAATTTTTTTTTTACATAAAGATAATAGACACAAATAAGGTTATTTTTGTATTTAAAAAGTAAGTTTTCAAAATTATTAAAAAATGTATCTTGTAATTTATATACTCATTGCAGAATAAGAACGTACCTTATCGCACCGGTGGCAGACTAGTTCCATCCTGCAACTTTGTCATACTTTTTGTATAACAGTAATTTTGAAACATAATGCATCCGACCAGTATGCGGTAAACCTGTTTTGGTCCGCCCCTTTTGTACGTTCTTATTCCACGCCGAGTAAAGACACAGTATCATTTCAAAAATGCTGATGTTAAATATATCTTGTATTTAAAGGTAAAAATATATCTAATATTTTGTATCTAGATACTTTCATCCAAGTTGAATCCCATTCCTGATTATAGTACTAGTGAAAATAACTTCGAAGAAGACCATTGAAAAAGTATTATCAAAATATCAGACTAAATAAAACATAATTATTATTCACAATACCACAGCTTTGCCATTAAATGTTAATATTTTATATACTTATATATAAAACATATTACACAAGAATTTGATTAACAAGTTATAAATATGTTGAATGTATTAATTTAATTATTTAGTGTCAATTAAATTTTAATAAAATATCTAATTTTTTCAATATTATTAAATTAAGTTAGCTTGTAAATGATTATTCAAATTAGTAATTACTAGTTCTTAAATGAATAAAACTGTGTTCAAAAACATTACAGAATTTGACTATTCAAATATTAATAATAACTTGAAATTAGACTACCTGGTTGAGAGTTACGCATAGCATTTTCCAATTTTTTCAATCGAAATCTAATAGTCAAAATAATAAATAATTTAAGCATTAATTAGAAAAATTAATTATTATTAAATACTGGATTAGGAAATCATTAATTATATAAAAAAAAATTTTAATTACTTTGCTTCAGTTATTTCATAATGAATTTTATTAACCATTTGTGAATTTTCAGAAACCCCTAATAAAAAAATGAAAACCAAACCATTACAATTTGTTGACTCAAAAATCAACTGTTGAATGTGTAAAATTGTGTAAAATGTTGTAAATTAATTAGTACCCACTTAATTTGTTAGGTGAACTTAATTGACTTTCTCCCACTTTTCTTAAACAATTTTCCAAACGAAAATCTGAAATAACATAATTTTTGTAAAATTCTAAACACAAATGAAGTTTAGACACAAAAATAAACAAACCTGATGGACTTGTATGTTCAATATTATCCAGAATGATGCTGTTGACATTATTCCCATGCATAGGACTGGGTCTATCCGGGTTCTAAAAACCAAACAAAAACAATAATAAGTTTTATATGTTGCGATTTTAATAGCAACAAATTATTTACATCTGATTCTTCAAAAAGACGACTAAGTCTCTCAAACATAGACTGGGCAGTTTCGCCTTGATAACGATTTTGGAATTCATTATCATATAAAGTTTGTATTGATAATGGCGGATGTACCATATTAGAAGCAGTTTCACATGATGCTCCTTGAACTTCTTGGTCTTTGATTGGACTCCTGAGATGTCTACATCAAATATTTATTTTATTAGTTAATAATTATAACAAATTTATCTGGAATTTGGAAAGCAAATTTTATTTTAAAACAAACTATCAGTGCCCATACTCAAGAGTGGGAAGGAGTGTCCAACATAGATAATATAATATTCTAATATATATATATATTGTCTATGGTGTTCAACCTCTTTCACTATTGGATTTTTTTTTAAAATAAAATTGAAAATGTTTATGTATGTCACTGCTATCCTTACCCAGTTGCTTCTGCACACTCAAATTCATCCAACAATGATTGTATTTTAATTTTAAGCTTTTTCTTTGGACTCGGAATTTCTCTACTAATAGGTTTAACTTTAGCAGGGATTTTCTATAAAAAAAAAAATGTTTATATATATCAAAAAATATTTCAATAAAATATTAATTAATATTTTAAATGCTAAAATATTAGTTACAAAATCAGTGAAAAATACCTGTTTCAATTCTTCAAATTGCTGTAAGAGTGCAGATCTCTCAAGTTCTAATTTAGACAAATACCATTGTTGTTCTCTACATTTTTGATAGTAAGTTGGTGGTCGAACACCAAATCTGTTTAATAATAATAACAATAATAATAATAAAAATAAAGGTGATAATATTGAATAATAAAATCATTAAAATTACTGACTTTAAAATTAATGTATCTTGATGTAAAAATGATTCATTAATTAATAAATCAAGTCTAAAAAATCTATTGTATCCCCAACATTCACCAATTTCAAAATCTGATGTGAATTCTCTGAGCACATTTTTAGATTTATCGTTCATTTTTTCATCTAGTTGATGAACCATTTCAATACGATAATCATATCTAAAAAAAAATTAATATTCATAATAGAAATAGTTTAATTCCGAAGCAAAATGGGTTAACAGAATATATTCAACTTTATGTTCTTATGGACAACTGTAAAATATTAAAATAAACAACTAACCTAGATACTCCAGCTGGCCCAGAAGTTAACTCTAAAAACACTGATAAATATCGATCTCTCACGATACCATTACCATTGGGGTATACTTTAAGTCTCCAATTAACACCATTGCAACCAATCGGAAGTGAATAGATAGGTTCAGACTGAATCATTTTATCAGAAAACGATTTAATTATCAAGGTACCTCCTTCAAACTTTGGTATAAGTTCGCTAATTATTAAAAATTCATATTAATTTTAATTTTTTTCTAGTATTAAATTAATTTACCTATGGAAATCTGGATACACAGACATACGGGTTGTAAACGGGTGTTTATCATCCATAGCAGAAATAGTTCTTTTTAAACTTGGAGCGTTATTAATTAATTGTGACATTGGCATACGAGATACTTCAAGATCACAATCATGCAAAAATTCCTCTATTTGTTCAGATTCGTTGACTAGAAGATTTTTTTGAGTTAATAAAGTAGTAAGTTTATTATTCAGATCTTTTTCTAAGTCAATCATCATAGACTCCACAGCTGTGCGTATTTCTCGAACTTTTTGCTCTTTGGCTTGTTGTACTTCTTTAATATTTCTATCCTAAAAAATACATTGATTAATTAAATTAATGGAAGTTTTTCTATCATAAATATATTATTATTGAATTCTTCTATAATTGTGGTGGATAGAGTACTTTATTTTTATATAATATATCGTTGATATTAGTTAAGACATTAAATATTACTGAGCTACAACTGATTTTCTGGACGAAATAGACAGATGTCATAAAGGGAATATCTTGGGTTTAAAACAATAAAAAAATTGATTTATTTTAGTTTATTCACTATGAATAACGTTTTAACGGACAGAGAATTCTTCACAAATAAATCCTACAGTTATGATTCAATATAGTACCCGGAAAATAATATGAAGTATATAATACTAATATATATGTTTAGAAAAAAATACTCAGTGTGTTTTAAAGGTTAATTAATTAGCATAGAAATCTAAGTAGAGCTTTAAATTTAAAAATATCAGATACACGCCTATAAAATAAATTTTAGTTTTTAAACTGTATATACGAGTCACATTAAAATACATACAAGTTCCTTAATGTCTTTCTTATTAAATTCTTCTTTCATTTTGAGGTGATTACAACTCTCACCCAACTGTGCTATTGTTTCATTATAAACGTCTTCCACAGGTCGGAATGAATGACCATTATGGGCTGAATCGTCAAATAGAGCACATCGATGACAGATAGTTGTATTGCATGACATGCAGAATACAGACAATTGTTCGTTATGAGTTTCACATCTAATATAAAATAAAATAAAAAATTTCAAATCATTTTGTATAGGTGATTAAAAAATATTTTTGTTGATTACCTTTGTTCTTGGCTCTGTCTAATACTTCCTATATTGACAGTACTGTTCAAACAGTCAAGTTGATCGGATAAATCTTCAACCCATCTACAGTTGACAATTTCGTGTAAATGCAATGTAGCTCTACAGTGTGGACATTGAGATCGTTGTTCAGTAAGCCATCGGCGCATACAAGAGTAACAACATAATTTTGAACAATGTGGACACAAATGTGCATCTTGTATTTTCTCCATACAAATAAAACATTTGAATGTTTCGAGTAGAGTCTTGAATAAAAATAATTTTTATGGTTAGATAATTAGGTAATAATTATCTAATAATGTAATTTAAATCATTGAAGCATTAATTTTACTAAACATCAATTACAATGTGGATAAAGGAATAGATTTTAATTCCATTGAGTATCCACAATCAGTATCCTTTTCTTTAAACAGATTTATATATTTGAATAGGTATCCAAATTCTGTCAGCAAATTAGACCAACCCGTCTACACTTAGTAATAGCATAATAAAAAATGAACAATTTTTACAATCCTATTAATTAAAAAGCCTGACAGTCAAATCAATAGATTGATAATTTATTTTCACTTTCGGTTTTATCCTAATTCCAGATAAATATATAGTTTTAAAATAAACACAATAGGTACCTAGTGAATAATTAAATTGGTCAGTGAATATTCGGATAGGGATAGAAAAAATGAATAATCAACTTTATTTTGTTTAAGTTAGTTTGGAAACCAAAGTATAGACAGTTTAGGTGCTTAAATTAAAAATATTACTATGGATTATGTTTGGTTATAACTTAGGTCATAACTCGTTATGAGGTATGCAAGATGCCAAGATGGACTAATGACCCACAAACGAAATAAATAATAAATTCTATTCAAAAATGAAACTCTTTTTCGGGTACCTAATTGGACAGTTAAGGTAAAGTGAAATAATAAGTTAAGTTAATATACCTGTAAATATTCCGGATTGGGTGCCACGGCCATTTTGGTTTTTGAAGATTATATTCAGTATTCTATCGGTAATACTTATATTTGTACGTTGTACCTATAACGTCCTTAGCTACCGGTGACGGAACAACAATAACAATATTGTCGTCATTTTCCAAAGTTTGTTAAATTGATTAATTATTAATAAACGATATCATTGGTGTCGTTTCGCAGTCGACTTGCGAATTATATTTTTATTTTTAAATTAGACAATACCGGTTAACCGCTTAGGAACGACCGACACGTATCTGTATGAACGGGGGAATGCCATCTGAATCTGTAAACTGAATATTATACATTTATTATATATATAATATACATTTTATAGGTATCCACAGACCACAATAGATACGATTTAGTACGACCACGTACGACGGTCGACGAGACAATAATCAATCGTCGTCATATGACTGATAAAAAAAAGTCCCCACTGGGACTACTCCCCAGTATCACAGGCCCAGTCGAGCGTTCTCAAAATGCGTTCCGACGCTCAGGTAGACCAACTGAATATTGCTTCTAACGAACGTCTATACCCTGTTCAAAATAAGAAGCGACCTGATTTACGCTTGAAAACCGGTTTTACTAGTGGCCGCCTGAATCGCTTCTTAAAATGAACAGACTATATTCGGGCTGAATAATTCAGCTATAGTTCAGCCTTCAGCTGCTGGTATAATATAGTATATAATAATAGGTAATTAATAAGATCACATACGACAGATCTGCCTATAAAGTATATGTTTTAACTTTTAAGTTATTACCTATATAAAAATTAATAATCTATGTATCATTTACGAATAGACTCACGTCTCACGCCGTGGTGTGCAGTGTTGGGAATAGATAACTAAATAATTATCTAGATAAGATAAGATAATTTTAACAAAATATTATCTAGATAAAAATAAAGATAACATAAATGTAATATATCTAGATAAAGATAAATACAACAATACATTTATCTAGATAAATATCATTTTTTTACACTTATTTTTAATGTTTTTTAGTATTTTTTTAATATTAGATTTCTATCAATATAATGACATAATATTTATAAAAACAACGGTATGAGACTTTAAATTTAACTATTTGAATATTATACCTATAAGAATGAAACATCAAAACATTTAAACCAATACTAGTATTCCACTGTTCAAAATTATGTAGTTAGTTGACTCTTTATTCTTTAATACTATAATATTTCTACCCCTACTTATATAAATGCATACAATAATGAATTAATAATAATTGATACATTTTAATACAAAACTAGTCAAGTAAAAAATAATTAATTTGTATTATCTCAAGGAAAAGTCAGTTCTAAATAAATCTTGTCAAATGCCTATGTATGCACTGATAGGCTATAGTCACTTGTAAATCATATATTAATATAATCAATATTAAAAAAGGATGAACTTAAATATTTAAAAAACATTTAAACAGTAAATAATACCTACATTATAATCAATGTTTGGTAAGAAATAGTTGAATGCTAAAATATAAGCGAATTGTTTTATTATTGAATACCTACAACATTTTTAATAGTTCATAAGACAAAAAAAAATAATTATAAAATTACAACTGTATAATATTAATAAAAAAAAATATTTTATAACAAAAACAAAAAACAATGTTTATAAACCTTTTGTTAGAACTACATGACATTAGAAGTTGTTTGAATTAAGATTCTGACATCTACAACACAAAAGCATTTCAAATGTTTTATCATTTAAACGATTTCTTCTTGGTGTCATGATTTGTGATCCACTACTAAATAAACGCTCTACTGGTGCAGAAGAGGGAAGTGTTGTATTGTATTTGAAAAACATTTTTTTTATGATTGGAAATGAATTAAGAACATTAAAATCTTTATTTTTTGAGTTTAAATATTCCATAGCTTGAGCATTAATACAATAATCATAATTATCATAATTATTATGATTGCTTTGAATATCAATATCCACATCTAAAAAATTCTCTGATAGGACTTGAAAAAAATCTTGGTCACTGCTATGAAATACAGTTCTACGAAGTTAATTTTTATTTATTTTTAGAATGGATCATGGATGGGGAAATAAACCTATACCTAATTAATTTGAATATGCTCATTATGATTTATGGCTAGTAGAGAACGATGTATAGTGCATGCCCGCATGCAGGTTCTCGTAATACTCGTTGACAATAATAACATGAAATATATTTATCTAATTTTATAAATAATTTATACTACATTAGAATTTTAGTAACATTGGTTTTATAAATTTGTAGTGGCACTATAATATTTATCTAGATAAATTTATCTAGATAAGCCCATTTTTTATCTAAGCTAAACGTTAGATAAATCGTAACATAATTATCTAGATACTTTAAAAGATAATTTATTTCAAAAAATCTTATCTAGATAAGTTATCTAGATAATTTTATCTAGATAATTCCCAACACTGGTGGTGTGGTACTTCAGTTTCGAAAATAGTCGTATAAGAAGAAGATATTTTTGAAATTTTAAGATTTGATATTTGAATACAATTTACAAATACCTTTATCATACTTTTCAACTTTTGAATAGTAGATATTTATAAATTATTTCAAATATGCCTACTATTTTATAATAATATATCTAATAAGTAATAATGCAAAAACCCACATAATTAGTAATTTCTTTCAACACACTAATAGGATTATTAGGATTAATGTTTTAAGCAGGGTATAGGTACCTACTTAATTTTTCATATTCCCTAAATTAAAAATTTGTTTTTAGAGTCTGAGCGATGAATGTATTGATTTTACAATAAAGTGTCTTTTATTTATTTATTATTATTTTTTTTTAAGTCTGTGTTCCTACACGATAAGTACCTAGTCAAAATAATTCTTCGATTTTCAACTTCAGTATCTTGTTCGATGGAAAAGTGAATCTAGATGGTGCATTGGAGAGGTCAAAATTTAAAATTCCCAGTAATTTTCGTAAGCGCCGAGAAGAACCAACAAAAATTAAGGAAAACCGGGAATTTTTACGCAAAATCGGTTTTTGACAAAATTGATATTGGTGTTTGGTGTAACTCTATGACCGTAGATGACTGTGTAGATCCATGAAATTTTCACTGGTTATTTATATTAGCATTTTTTATATATACACGATATAATTTTCAAAATATTTTAATTTGTTTTGAACTGTTTACGGACATTTTCAGTTGCCTATTTTTTAGTTTTTTTTTCTATATGAATGTCAATAAAAGTTTGTTGGGTAAAAAAGTTTGAAGATTTAATACAAGTTTCTTAGTATATATATTTACAATGACATTTGAAAAATATAAAAATCCAGCCACAATTTTTTTTTATAAGCATTTAAAGTTCAAATCTTGACAAAATACGGAAAAAAAACACGAAAATTAGCAAATTATTTTGAGTTAGAAATTCCTAAAAATTTTTCTTTTTAAATTTAAGATTTTGAAATGTAATACAAGATTCTTCATAAGTATGTCTACCTTTATCAAAAAAAAAAAAAATGTTTACAAAAAGTTAAATTAAATTTTTATGAGTGTTTGAAGTTCATATTTTTACAACATTGGATATTTTATTGATATTTACCCGATTTCTCATGTAGCGATTTTGTGATTTTGGAGTTATTCAAAAACGAACCACTGTAGATGCATGAAAATTTGACTGAATGTTAATATTTTCATTTTCTATATACTATAAAATGTTGTCTTTTTAGCTCACTACGGACATTGTTAGTATTCAATTTTTAGGTTTTTTTTCTACAATTGTCAATAAAATATTATTTGTTGAGTAAAAAAACGTGAAAATTTAATACAAGGCTCCTGATATATTGTTACAATAGCAGTGGAAAAATATCAAAAATACATCGGCACATTTTTTTTTTATTAGCATTTATAGTTCGACTTTTGACAAAATTTATCAAATTTAAAATTAATAATTATTTTGTAGTTACAAATTTATAAAATGTTCAACTAATAGCTAACGATTGAAAATTTAAAACAAGGTTTCACGTTAATACGTTAGGTATACATATATAAATTATTTTATTCACAATAATATCATCAAAATATATACTTAGTAATATATATATATATATATCATAGACCGTCTTCGCTCATAATATTTTTTCTTATACAATGATAATAGATCATTGAATTAAAATTTAACACCATCCATTACAATAACCCATTTGTAACCTACTGTACAGCAGAGCGACACCCACTTGACCACATCATTTTTCTACAATTCTACAATAAATTTTCGTTTTTGACTTTTGGCATTTTTTTTTCTAGGAAGTACAATGTATATATAATCTAAACAGATTTATGACCCTTTACCACTTCGAAGAGCGAATGCCTGATTAAAGAGTTCTAACTACGAAATTATGGGTAATTATTAATTTGACACAAACGTGCTCAGAGGGTCAGGCTCTGTAAAGAACAACAACCTCCTGTCCCTGTCCACGATAACCCCATTACATACTCACAGGTTTTGGCCTATCACTCAGTGGTGCACATTTAATAAAGTTCGTACGACACGTCACACATCTAATGGTAGGTGTGTAGTGTGTATACTGTAGCAGAAATAGCCCGCCAGGCGCCAATGGGGCATACGACTTTTCATAATGTGATCGTGTCGCAGGAAAGTTGACCATCATTGCTTTAGAATTCGAATGCCCAAACACTTCCTATCAGGAACCTAGAACCAATCGACTCTCACACAGCCATACCCAACCACTACCACATTCATTCTATGGCTAGAATCTAGAAAAACTGATCTACATGCAACTTTGATATGTTAATTTATTAGCTTAATAATATTTAACTAGGTATTGATTATTATTTATATTTTATATTATTTTATTTTATGTTATGTTATTGCTATTCACCCATTTTACATAGGTACACCTACAATCACGAAACATACTCTAAATAACAGATTTATGCACAATAAAAACATCTGAAGTATACCAGTGGCATATATAGGATTTAATTTCGGGGGAGGAG